TAAATTAACCATTCTTACTGGCCAGGAATTTCAAAATATTTGATAGATTATATTGCGCCCGAGTCCGTCTGTGATTGTACCTCGGTGGAGGAGAATGTTGAACAGTCTTCTTCTGTGTCCTAAATAAGAACGAAGAAAATCCTTGAAACTGGAATGAAAACTTATATTCTGGCCTCCAGATTTTAGCAAGTATTTCTGAGAGAAGTCTTTAAACTTTTGTCATTTATTGGAAACTTTTAATCATCCTTAATTTATTTCAGTTTTTTTCTCTTTTATTTGTATTGTGTTTCAACTTCTTCTGTAGCCATGGATACTATGTGGTCATGGGGAGCTTATTGTGTTTCTTTATTAAAACGTATATCTATATATATATATAATATCAACAAGGTAGTTTTCATACTGAATGACCATTTGGTCTATATAACATTTCGCAATATGCTGCAAATAGTAATAGAAATTTAGTAAGCTCGCCTAAAGTTACCAGAGCTGTGCCAAAAGTCAACACGTTTTAAAAAATTATACTATGAACACACATGAACATTAACATTAAAAAAACAAATAAATAAAAAATAGCGGAAAATGGTAATTATCTGACTCGACTTCAAACGGCTTTTCAAGGAATTTTTTTTGGGTTGAACGTCGAATCAGCTAACCCATACGCGTTTCTCCGAAACGAACATTGAACTTTCCTACAAAATTTTTTTATTTAACAGTGTCTTGGAAATTTAATAGTCCAATTCTCTGTTCTATTTCCCGACGCGTCCGCACAAATGACACATTAGGTGTTAAAATATGTAAAACTATTCCGCTACATCTAATCTAGACTCATAAAATAAAAAATAAATAATTCGGCTGCTATAGTCTAATAACAACATACGGCTGCCTGCAGTTTACGATTGATAATTTTTATATATTTAGAATCTTATTAAATAAAGAAAATTAAGATGAAAACTAACAAAGTGTGTCTTGCTAAGACCAAGAAAAAGTTGTAACAAAAGAAACAAAAAACTGACCTGTGGCGATATCTATATATAATTTGTAAATTTTTGGTATGCTACACTGCGGAAATAAGAGTATCTTGTTATTGTTGCTGCTAATGCTCACTTGTCTGACCTATAGTCAACCCAAGCCTACGAAATTCCTCGTGGCAAGGAGAGCAAGTTTACGTCTGCCGTTGGCAACAGCCTTGAGCACCTTACAGCTGATAGTGCGATTAAACTCAGTTCGGCCGCCAATATGGATGGAGAGCACCCCGAGGAATATGTCCGAGGGCCTCTAATCTCTCTTTCCCTACCACCAAACTCTTGAGAGGACGCTCGGCTTGCCACACATTTAGAGCGCCTCATGCTGCACAGACACTATACATTTACAAACATCTATGCCTTCTCCGGGATTCGAATGCACGGCAATCAGCGACGCTAAACACTATACCGATACCGGTTGGACGGCCTTAGAGTATGTATCTTTCAGAAAGGCATCTTAAGGAGTAGATCATCTCCTAATGTTGGGACCAATTTCAAATTAATTTCAAAAATGCATAAATTAATTAATTGATTGAACTTGTAATGGAGGAAATGTTTTTTTGTTTTCTTCGTTTATTCTAAGCAAGGAAGCTAAGCTAAGGAAATTGCTCTATGAATTAATTTTACAATTCACACTACTGCCTTCAATGCTAATAAGCCATTATTTAAACTTTTTAAAAATCATAATTTAACATTAAATATATTTTAATGTATAAATATATTTTATTTCATTAACTTTCGATTTGAATAAATTCTAAACAGTTAAAAACTGAACAAAGAGAATGTCTACAGTGAAATAATTAAATATGCATACTTTGGTTAAACTATGGTTATAAGGTATTTCTCCCACTTCTCTAGCGTGCCTTCGTGGTGTAACGGTAGCACGCTGGGCCGGTATTCCAGAGGTCCGTGGTTCGATTCCCGGCGAAGGTGGTTGTTAATTTTTCATCTCTCTTGTTTCCAATTAACCTAATGATTCTACAAGTGGCGCCCGAACTAAAAGGGTTGTGGATGATGATTCTCTGCACTCAAGATTTGGCGACTAGGTCCCCTAAAACTCCAGTTGCCCTTTAAAAAGGGAGTATATAAGGTATTCTTCCATTCCTAGCGTGTCTTCGTGGAACGTAGCATCTGGCGGTATTCCAAAGGCCGTGGTCGATTCCCGGCGAAGGCGGTTGTTAATTTTTCATCTCTCTTGCTTTCAATTAACCTAATGACTCTACAGGTATAATGAAGAATGAATAACTAAATTAAAAGTGCGCCATCACTTTCAAAAATGTTCCTTATTTTAAAATGGGGAAACAGTGTTCTAAACATTGTTAACTTGCACTCATATTGCCTGATATTGAATAAGAAAAATCTTTAAATGATGTAATTGGAAGAAAAGTGCATAGTAAGTTTTACGAAGTTTTGTCTTCATTTATTCTTTTGTATCATTTTGATTTCATTAATTTTGATTAATCATTTGATTCATTGATTAATAGCAACAAAATAGTGAAGCGTACAGGAAAGTATAAGTTTTATAAACCTTCTTACGTTTTGATTTAGTTTACGTGATTACGGCAACTCCTCGAGGGCCTAAGGACAACGATAACTTCGTGGAGGACATCTCAAGGAAAACTGGCTCGTATGTCCCCCCCACACGGAATCAATAATCTTCGAGGGTTCAACTGGAGGTTGGTTGCCGAATATGCACGAGTAATTGATAGGCATAATGAAGATTCCATTGATAAAAAAAATTAATATTGTTAAATTGATAATTAATTGCTTATTTATATAAAGCTATATCATGTAGTAAAAATGAAAGCGTATAAAATAAACGTAAAGGAAAAATGTGCAAAAATCATTTAATACATTTTAAAAATCAACAACGATAATTTTAAAATTAAATTCGATTTTATGGAAAAGATGATATATAAAAAAATAAAACACAGGAATACACATACACAAAATAAACAAATAAATAAATAGAATGAAATAAAATAAAATAATTTAAAACTCAAAACTTCCCCAGAAGATATATATTGCTGTATACAAGCCACTTGTATAATTTAGTGTAAAAGAAGATTTTAATGTTCCCTCCCAGGGCACTGCAAATTTGAAAGAGCCATTATGGCTCATAGAATAACTGAATCGCAGTCTTGATATAATGATGCAAGATAACTTGATTGCATTGAAGGAGGATGCTCAACATAAGCCTTATTCATAAGGTATGCGTACGCTCATTTTGGAGTTTATAAGTCATGCAAGAAAAATATCCCAAAGGTAAAGTCGTTAACGAATAAAATACTGACTTTTCCGTCTTCTTACATATAAGAAGTCAATAATTTACCACGAAAAACAAGGTAAAGGTTGAATATTTGGCTAATCTTTAGAATATGGTAACAGGTAGTTTGGCGACATTTTGGTAAGGCGATAAAGGTTACTAGCTAGGACTTTAGCAATAATCTGAGAAGTACACAGTTCGAATCCCAGATTATTTTCTCTCAGAGAAATGAGAGATTAAGACATGTAATGTGACATTTTCCGGAAAATTTCGATCGTGATTTGCTAATAAGCTTAGAACAATTTCATTCACTGCTAAAGTGCAGAATCGTCCCACTTATTTGTTTGGCGCTTTTTACAGAGTAAGAAGAATTGGATTTTTGTCAATTTCTTTGACTTTTTAGTGGAAATATTCGATGTGTACATAGATAAAGTGAAGAGTGTGCGCAATGCCCTTTTTGTGCAATTTGGGAATTTTTTTTTAAGGGAAATAGGTTGACGTGTCATGGATACTGTGTATGTGCAATTCTTAAAAACGCGGCAAGTAGGCACTCTCAATTTCGCACCTAATCTTCGTCATAATTAAGCACTTTGTTCTAGTATAAGTGTAATTCGGCTAGCAGATTGTTGGAAAAAATGTTGAGTAAAAAAAAAAAAAAAAAAAAAAGCCTTTACTTCGTGAAAACAAAATGGCGTCCAAAACAAAACTAGCAGGTTGCTGTAGCAGGGTTGGTCGCCAAATTTTCGCCAAAATATCGCCAAGTTACCGTAATGTAAAGATTCACCGAATATTTTTGAGCAAAGTGCTTTCAGAATTATAAGTAATTCTGTGCTAAATATTTAGAAAAAGACATCAATGCATAAAGGGCGACCATCACATTAATTAAAATCGAACTGTTGAACCATTAAAATCTGTGATTTTGTTTCTGAAAACTTTTTTATATTGTAAAATTAAAAATACTAATAATATAATAATATATTATACTAAAAATAATAAAGCAAATTCATTCAATAATATTTTCTTAAACTTTTGTCCATATTCTTAGTTATCTTTAAATTATTTGTATTATGATTATATTGTTTGCTGTATATTGAAGAGAAAAATATGAGGTGCAAGGAAAAGGTTGAAAATCCCTGCTCTAGCTGAATCCCTTTTTAATAGGCCCACAAGCGGCCGAGCGGTAAAGTCGCTAAACACTGGTAATTCGGTCCAAGTTTTGAATCCCGCGAAAGGGCTGGTCGCATGGCCGTTTTCGTGGTTTTCCCCGTGTTATGTATACGGACCAGTTTTCCTTAGAAATTCCTCCACAAAAGCATCCCCCCTCTTAGGTAAATAGCCCTCCAGGCTTTGCCGTAGTCACATATACTAAACCATTTTTTAACAAAATTGAGGTATTAGATCTGAACACACAAAAAATTAATTATTGTTGAATTTTACAAATTACACTTTTTAGATTGAATACAGATTGTATTTTAGATTTTCGAGTAGAAAATTAAAAAAAAAAAAATTTAATAGTTTTCGTATCCGTTCTTAAATGACAAATAAAATGGGATACAAAAGTTGACTACGTATGCCTTTTTCTTTTTCTTCTTCTTTTTTTTTCCCTTCATTTTCTTTCCTCCCCCTTTTTTTTTTGATGGGTGAGATTTGTTTTTTTCTTTGTGGGTCACCTTTTCGCCAAGTCATGCAAAATAATATCTTCATTCTTGCAGGTTTTCAACCAGAAAGTATTATAACTTGCCATAAACTACGATGCATCTATTCATGTTATGCACTCTCTTCTTAATTACGCTGGTTGCTGTTAAAGCCGATGTAAAAGACAGATATGTCGAAGCCGTAAAAGACAAAGATGCAGAATATGATGACAAGGAGGAAAGACAAGCCGTGTATTGGACTAGGTACAGGAAACCTCTAGATTTGAACATCAGAGTACCGTAAGTTTCATTTTGTTGAAAATCTGTAGCATTATAGCTTTTTTTTTTGTTATGTTTTATTTCTCATTAATCATATCCTTTTGGTGAATACTGTATATATGAATTGAGAGAAAGCTATAGTTATTGTTATACGTAAAAATATGTAGAGACATTAGGTTATTTGGAAGCAGGAAAATGAAAAATTTGCAACTCCTTCTTCGGGAATCGAACCACGGACCTCTGGAATACGCACCCAGCGTGCAGACCACCACGCGTAATGGCAGACCGCACATTGAATTGAACAGTGTTAAGCGAATCTCGCTTACTGCGCATGCTTGATGGTGTACATTTGGCGCGGGAAGAAATATTGGCGACTAAGCAACCCTACGTTAGCTTATTCGTGATCTCCATGGCTGTCGAGTGTGTTCGAGTGATGTTTAAATTGCCAATGTTGTGGAACTTTGCTTATTAGTTATTTTAACGTCCATGCCGATTGCACTCGCTTATTTTTCTAATATATGTTTCATTTTAATTTGTCAATAACAGTGCATTTAATATTTGTTAACATATGTTCGTAATAATTTGTTATTTAAATGCAATTTGTTTTCATGTATAATTCAGTAATTGTAAACTGAGTATCTCGCTTAGTTTTGTTAGCGTATATCGCGCTTTTATTTTCCTCATTTCAAAGAATTTAATAACTACCATTAAGAAATTGTAAAATTTCTTCAGTGTTATTTGCAAGCACTTGTTATATTCCTCAGTGTTTTCTTTATGCATGTACGAATGGAACGTATGGTAAATCCTGAATTGTTTTTTATTGCTTAAAGTATATGAATAAATTTTCAACTAATATATCCTAAATTTCAGTCTTTTTCTGAACGAAAATTTGTACAGTTTCAAAGGAATGTACAGAATTTCATAAGTATTATATTTTACATTTTGAATGTAAACACTGCTTCACATTACTTGGCACTAGTTTCTGCTTTCTAGTTGTTTGAGCAGTACAGCAAAAAATAGTATTTTAACACAGTAATTAATTTACATTTACATTATACTCTACGAAGATTTAAACGCCAGATTTGTTTACAATTAGATGCCGATACATCTACCATATACTGTATTTATCTTCTTTTCAAATTGCGCCAACATAGTAATTACGCCAAATTGTTTTCTGGGCATGCGCAGTATGCAACATTCGTTTAACACTGTTCAACTCAATGTGCGGTCTGCCATTACGCGACCACCACACCACGAAGGCATGCCAAGAAAGCGGGAGAAATACCTTATATTCCTACCTTTTAAAGGGCGACTGGGGTTTTTAGGCGACCCAATCGCCAAATTCTGGATGTGGAGAATCATCATCCACCACCCTTTTAGTTCGGGCGCCACTGTAGAGACATTAGATTGGAATAGGAAAAATTAAAAATGTGCAACGCCTTCGCCAGGAATCGAACCACCACGGACTTCCGGAATACGCGCCCAGCGTGCAGACCACCACACCACGAAGGCTCGCTAAGAAGGCGGGAGAAATACCTTATAAATATAGGTAATCTAATTACTTAAAATACATTTTTGCAAAATGCTTGCATTTGTGCTTTGAAGTTTCCTTTCGATGGTGAGACTTATCGTCCCTTTTTGGGTCAAGTCCTGCCGGAATCGCCGAACGTCGTATCACTTCACGTGCACTAGCGGATGTGGTTTCAACATGACGGAGTTCTAGCGCATTTCTGTGGCAATATCTGAACGCTAAAATTCCGGGGCGGTGGACTGGCACAGCTAGACCCATTCCGTGGCTTCCGGTTAGCATACCATTCTTTGCTTGAATTTAGCGAATTCGAGAATATTGTACTAGCGTTACTGAACATTGAGTAAGCTAATCATTTAAAAATAATTTTGTCTGGATCGTTCACCAGATGTGTCTGCTGTTGATTTTTTTTCTTTGGGGTTATATGAAAACCCTATTGTATGAAACCCGTATAAAATCGGGAATATATATGGTAGCATGAACCATTGCTGAAAGTGAAGTTATTGCCGATACACCCGGTATTTTTGCGAACGTTCGTCGATCGCGGCTACATCGTTGCGAGGCATGTATTATAGCTGCAGACTGCTACTTTGAGCTGCTGCCTTATGGCATAACTCCTCTCTGTGTAATAAATTATCATTATTTGTGTTCTGTCTCGCATCTTTTAGCCTCTGGCTATGTATTCATGTAGCACGTCTGAATTGTGTTTGCGACCATATGTTCCTGCATAATTCATGCTTGTTATCGTTTTCCTGACTTACATGTAAATTTTTGGACAATAGTTCTGAATCACCCTGTATAAAGAAAGTACGCAGTTTATCTGAAATAACGTTGAAATTTTGCGACAGATTTCGACCCCTTATGTGCTTTTTTGTTCGGAATTTGAACAGATTAATACTTATATTTTTTTAGACAATACAGAATAACCGGTTAGCATATCATTCTTTGCTTTGAATTTAGCGAATTCGAGAATATTGCATTAGCGTTACTGAACGTTGAGCAAGCTGATCATTTAAAAATAATTTTGTCTCGATATTTTAGAAATATTTTGCAGCAAATTTTATTTTGTAATGTGAGCGACATATACAGTGTCTCACAAAAGTGATGGGACACTTGTGCTTTACAAAAGGAAACTGTAGTAAAATAAATTAAAAAACATGTAAAAATTTTTTGTGGGTGTGTTTCATACTTCAATTAAGTAACAATTATTGCATAACATACATTTTCTCAAAATATTAAAATATTAGTTTAATAAAAATACAATTGTTTAGAATGGAGCAAAAAATGGCTCACATAAGTGATGGGACACTTACTTCTCCATCAAATATTTATCCAAAAATTTTACTTTTTATAAGGTTTTAATATTTTGTTGGATTTCCTTTTACTTTTAAAATATGATTTAATCTTCTTGGGATGGATTCGACTAATTTTTTGGTGATTTCTGGAGTGATTTTACCCATTCTTCTTGAAGCACCGATTTTAATTGTTGTTTTGAAGAAATGGTGTGTTTGCGAATTCTTGATTCCGAATCTTGCCAAATATTCTCTATGGTATTTAAGTCTGGAGATTGTGGTGGTGTTTTTATTATTTCAGGACAGTTATACAGCAGCCAGAGTCTAACGTTCAAAGCAGTGTGCGTGGGGTCATTGTCCTGGTAGAATTTAAAATCGTTATGAAAGTTCAAATTTCGCGCTGAAGATTTCAAATTTTGATTTCAAATGTCAATATACTTGTACTGATCCATTATACTGTCAATAAAAACAAGAGTACCAACTCCAGCGGACGACATACACCCCCATACAATAACTCCTCCTCCACCATGTTTCACTGTTGGCACCAAGTTCTGTTTTCGAAATTCTTCCCTGGGTTTTCTCCACACCAAGATTCTACCGTCAGAACCAATATATTAATTTACTCTCATCACAAATATAACTTCATTCCAGTAATCAGAATTCTTATTTATGTTGGATTTTGCGAAAGCCAGTCTGAGTTTTCTATTCTTTTCACTTACGAAGAATTTTTTCCTGGCTGCTCTACCGTGATATCCAGCAGATCGAATTACTCTTCTAATAGTCTCAGTTTTAACAATTACTCCTATAATGCTTGTAAATCAGCAGCAACTTTAGGAGCACTCATTCTTTTCTTGGATTTCTTTTAATATTTCGAACGATAATTCGCTTTATAAATTCCATTGGAGCTTTGATGGTCGGCAAGGTTCTTCTTTATCCTGATCATATGATTCTTTTTCTATCGTTTAATGATATTGTAAACTGTTCAATGACTCAAGTTAACTGTTTTAAGGAGTTTCTCTAATAGATTTTCCACTTCAATATGCAAATTAATAACTAATTTTCGAATTTCAGGCAACTTTCTTTTCGTTTAGCATTCATGGCTGCACAGAGCTAAAAACACAAAAATTCCAAAACAAACTGGAGAGAAATACTGCAGACGATTTTATAAATTATTGCCAATTGCTTTTTGAGTAAAAATAAAAACCCCCCAAAAATATTTTTATTGTAGAACGTATAGTATCTAATGGTGTCCCATCACTTACGTGAGCCATTTTTTGTTCCGTTTTTAAAAAATTGTATTTTTATTAAATTAATATTTTAATATTTTGAGAAAATGTATGTTATTGTAATAATTGTTACTAAATTTAAGTATGAAACACACCCACAAAAAACTTTATATGTTTTTTAAATTTATTTTATTAGTTTCCTTTTGTAAAGCACAAGTGTCCCATCACTTTTGTGAGACACTGTATAAAACTGATTTCTAATAACTGTATAAAACTTGTTACGTTATGATCACGATTCACGATTCTATTATATTCACAAGTTGGGAGAGCATCAATTTAATCAAAAACATACTAGTATAATCAAGAGTCAATAGACCATTTTCACGTAAAGACTCAACTTGAAAATAAGAACTTCCAGTTGAAACACAGAAATATTTAATGAAGAGCGTATGTACATTATTTACATTATTCAAACACAAAATTGACAAATAATGTAAATTTCTCATCATAGGGCCAAAATTAGTTTATCAAGAACAATTATTACAATTGTTGATTACCGCTATGCGGCCAAGAAACAGATCATTTTCAAGCGTCAAACTCAAGCTAAACTAAAAGAGTTATTACATTCTTTCTCTGCCGCCAGTCACGTGACCTAGTCGGCAACAGATGATAAATAATAAAGAAAAATTCGCTCCATTGGAGGGAAAAAGAAATAATTTCGACAACAACCTTTACTATATGTCAACTGTCCTCTGCGTCCGATATAGCATCAAATCATTGTGAAGCATTTTACAGAAATATAGAGATATTAAATCTTCTATATTAAATAAAAATATTTATTCGAATAATAATATACGGTTTTAAAATTTTGACCTTTTTCTGTTTGAACAATTTTACATTCAGAACCAAAATATAGAAACAAATGTTTGAGTTTCAAAAATTGGAATGGGCCTGAATTTTAAATTTTAGTCAATAATAAAGATTCAGTTTTATGTGTTGGTAACAGTAGATATTTTTATTAAGTAAAAGAAAAAAATATTTGTACAATTTTTTATATTTTAAAAACTTTTAATCAACAGAAAATCTGTTATCTTCTATCTATTGATTAATTAGGCTATTAATCTATTCGTTTATCGATAATAAATCTATTAATTTATTTACTGGAATTTAGAATTTTAGCACTAATATCTTTTTGAATGTAAACTAAAATTATCAAATTGTGTTTTAAATGTTATTTTCGTGTTTTTAAAATAATTTTCCCATTTTCGCTGAATCATTTATAAATGCGTTTCGACATTGTCCTTTGCAAATTATTTTGAAATGAAATAAAAAGAGATTTAACTTATATGCAAAATTATTTTTTCAGATTCTTTCAGATGTTCTTAAGAAGGCAAAAGACAGGCCAATCAAAGTAAGAACATTTTGATTTTTAAAACTAATTCCATTTTGAAAGTTTTTGAAAAAACATATACTAATTCTTTTTTGAAAGTTTTTGAAATATATATGTTTATGTTTGAGACAAATCTCTAATAATATTGCCAGTTTGTAAGAAATGAAAAATCCTTTCAATGCTTATCCTCATTAAAAAAATTCTCATCTGCAAGAAAGAAGATTCGAAATTACATTCGAATTAAAGTAAATAGAGTCAAGATCACGTGCTCTTCGTATAATGAACAATTGGATTCATAAAGAAATTATCTGGAAAAAAAAATTCGGATGACGAATAGTGTCTGGAATTAACAGATCAAAGTCGATAGCAAATGGGGTTTTCAGGTAACCCATCGTACCATAACCCTATTAACACTTAAGGACTTCCTGAAACATTATTAAATATTATCCTTTGCTTAAGTCTTATCAAAAATCCTGGACAATGAATTTGGCTTGGAGGAAATCGTGGCTAGATTCTGTTGCGGGCTTACGTTCTGGGAATTGGATATTGTGTCCCTAGATTTGGGTTAGGTAATTAATAATGAACATTTGGAATAATTAGTAGAGGTGCATGAAAATGAGCTCAGCAAGGAAAACTGCAAAAACTTCAGAAGTCCCACCAAAAAGCGATTGTGAAAGAATGACTTCTTCTTTCAGAGAATGAAGAAGGAGAGAAGATGATCCTAGCTCTTTGACTTCCAAAACTTGTGCAGAACCGGGCAAAATGCAAAATTTTCATATAACGATATCACCGTAAATAAAGTAGCAACAACCTATACCACATGCATATTCAGTAACAATACCATATCTCACTTCAGAAACATGTAGTGGTGGACAATAACAAATCCCATGGAACAAATTTCTAATTAGTGAATCTGAAGCAGAATCGAGTAGTGCTAAGAGACCAGGAAAATATGGAGGAACATCCCTCATGACCCAGTTACTTAATGCTTTATGAAGAAGGTTTGGCTTAGTTGGCTACGGTAAGCGTATTAACCTAAGAAGCCAACCTGCCTAAGGAGTGACTTCGTCAAGGAAAGTGGCTCTTACGGACAGTGCATATAGGAAAAACCATGGAATCACTCATGTATCCAGCCCGTTCGCCTTTTGACCAGGTTGGAACTGCCACTGTTCAGCGATTTTACCGCTCTTGCCGCAAGTGGACTTTATATAAAAAGACTTTCAATCCAAACAATCTCTTCTCGACTTCCTCCTTTTGATTTTCCATTTGTGCCATTCACACCTGTTCGTACAGGTATAGCAAAATTAAATCAAGTTTTCTTCTGTTATTTCTTCTTAATATTTTGATTACTTTTTTTTCCTCTTAGATTTAATGATTTTCATTGGTTTTGGGTTTTGTATCTGTACATAATATGCTATTATAAAATTTAAGTAAGTAATCATCTGTGGTCTAAGAACAAATTTCCATTTTATATTAATTCCTATGAGGGGAAATAATTTCAGTTTATGAAGTTTTTTTTTGGATGATGGACGGCCTTCAGAAATGAACTAAATTCGTGAATCTGCATTTCAATATATTTTGTAAATAAAAAACTGTAACTTAAATAATTAGAAATATTAATTAAAATCCTTAAAATTCTAATGCCTTGGTTATGTTTAAAAATTGCATAGAGCATCTTTAATAAATCTTTCATATCTTAAAAAAATTTTAACTCTATTCTTAAAGTCCTCGAAATCCAATATAATGCATTATCACATCATCACATCAAGTGAATATGTGTATCACATGACTACCAATAAGGATCTAAAATATAAAAACACAATATATTCCCCCCCCTCTCGCGTCAGTCTTAATATTTTCTTCAAAATTTTAAAAGAAAAATATTTCCTTCTACAAATTAATTCAAGAAGAAAAAGGATTTTTTATCAATTTCATACTAAACATTTTCCTACCGGAGCATTTTCTGAAGAATAATTAATTAAAAACGTTTATCAGTTGATACACGGACACACATGCATTAGAAAACGGGGGGGGAGGAGATAGAAAAAGAAAAAAATTCTTCCTTGCGAAATCGCATATTTATGTAGTACAAATAATTTTGGGAAGGAAAAAAAGACAGGAGATTCATTTAACATATTTTTTTATTAATGCTATTATCCAATGCGATTACATACTTCAAGTTCCTTTACAATAATTCAGATACAGAGAATAAGAAACGATTTTTACATATTTTTCTTTAAATTAAATGCAAATAAGCGCTTAAATTTAGAGTATCCCATATGCCGATCGCCCACCAGCGGCCGAGCGGTAAAGTCGCTGAACACTGGTAGTTCGGTCTGAGGTTCGAATCCCACGAACGGGCTGGCTGCATGGGTTTTTCCGTGTTTTCCCCCCATGTGTAACGTGTATACAAGCCAGTTTCCCTTAGAAAGTCCTCCACGAAGGCATCCCTCCCCTTAGGCAGATAGCCCTAGTGTGCTTTGCCGTAATTAAATACACACACACATACACCATATGCCGATCAGCTAAATAATAAAACTGCCTCAAATCCTATTTCTTTCTTCGTCAGAAAAAACATTTACCTTTAATTTCAAATCATTTTATCATTCTTTCTGTCTTTTGTTCCTAAACTCTTAAGCCACTTGGACTTGTGCCACTTTTCGAAAACATTTCATCTTTTGAGTTTTATAAATGTTTTATGAGTATGATTTAAGCTCTAATCAGTCTCTTTATAGTTAACGGAAAACTTTTTCATCAATGATCTGTTTCTAAAAAGATTGTGTGAGTGTCATAAAGTTGCTGTTTTTTCTTTTTTGCATAATTTTCATTTATGCAAAATTTCGTTAATATTCTTAGTAAATATTTTCAAGGAAGCAACTGCAAATTAAATTCTGAATTCTATTTTACCCAAGCTCAAAATAATTAGTCTCCAAGACAGCCATTTTTATTTCATAAATGCTCCTTGAATCTTTCTTTAAAATGTTAAATTACTTCAGTTAAAAGGTATTGGAAAACAATCTATGTCAATAAATTTGTTCCAGACTGTCTTCACGAATTTTGTATGCAGAAGTAGGGAGCGTTTTATTTTTAACACTATTAGACATTATAAGCAATTTATGAATGCTCATTTTTGATACAGCTCCATTCGAAAAGTTAGATTTTATTTTTAAAGAGCCCTCCTATTCAAAGTATTAAAAATGCTTCGATAAAATTTTCTACCTTGTTTTAGGAAACTCATTTATAACTGTAAACAGAGCAACAATCAATATTTAAAGAAATGAAATTTGTATTACCTTTATCAAATAGCTTGTGTAGTCATTTTGTCTGAAATTAAAAGTCGATAATCCATTTATTTATATTTGATTTTTTCATGTAGTTAGTTACATTTATTAATAATAGATGTCGTTTTATTCATTTTCAGTTTGGGACTGCAGGTGTTTCCAGATTCGCAGCAAGGAAGCTTAGTAGACATCGCCCACAGCTGGTGGGGAAAATGATTGTTTACAAAATGGCTCATTCTTTATTATCTGTAACTCTAGAACACATTTGCTTGCAAATATAACTTACTTTTGTAAATATTTACAGTATTACCTTTGATCTGTTTAAAGCCTGTAAAGAGAAAAACCCTAAAAAACTTGGATAGAATATTAAATGTGGTTTTCTAAATGTGGTTTGTAAATACTTATTTACGTTAACTGCATATTGAACTTCGGTTTCATTTAAGTAAGCAATTAAATGCGATCAAACATTATTTAACCAATGTAATATTATTTTATGTGGGAACATTAAAGATATTTATGTATTGATAATATTCAGTGAAATAAACTACATATAAATGGAAGTGGTTTTTTTTTTTTTTTTGTATTTAGAATATTCATTTAGTTTTCGAAATAAAATTACTTCAATTGCTATTAAAATGATGTCAGCAACTCATATACTAGTAATAATGGTATTTACATAATTTACCATCGGGTATTTTTGACAGAAAAATTGTCTCCGAACAGCTTGATTTAGCACCAGTAATGGATTAGCGTGACGTCATAACATAGTCATAAGACCTTCGTCTTGGTTTTATGTAATCGCAATCATTTTTTATATGTTATATTTGTAATTTGTGGTATTTAAAAAAAGAAAGAAAGAAAAAAAAAAGAACTGTCTACTGTTTTTAGATTTTTGGAAATGAATGAAACAAGTTTGAGCTGATAGCTATTTACGATTTTTTATATGCTATAACCGTAACTTGTACTATTGATTATCTAACAAAATAAACAGCGTTCTATATACCTACAAACTTCTGCTGGAATGACTGGCTTAAATTCGGCAGTATCTCTACACACTTTTATAACCGAGGGAAAAATATGTAAGTAGCACAACTTTATGTAATAGACTTTCGATATCTTTTAGAACATGCTGAACAGTTTAAACATATTTGATACCTAAAGTAATACATAGGATACGACGTTTCATACATACTCCATTATAAAATATAATACTTTAAGAATAATTTGAAATCTAGAGTAATACTTTAGGTACAAAATTGTTCTTCATGCATTCATTTTTATTCTCTCTTGTTACGAGAACGGAAAGAAGAATTGATTATTATATTACTTAAAAGTAAGATTAGTGAGACATTATTGCTGAAAAGAAAGCAAATTATAAAATGGAAAAATAATTCTATGCTTACACAATTGCTGTAGGAATTCTGTCGTCAGCGGAATTTTTCGACAACATCTCTTCGATGTGTTCATTCGAAAACTTAGTTATTTTCAGTTCACAGATTCGGTATTTAGAAAAATGTAAAGTATTGCAGCTTTTCTAGGGAGAAATGTTTGCCACAAATTTCGTGCGCAAATGATCCAGTGAAAAAAATGCACAACTGCCTCTTGAATAACTGAGCTGTTTCTTTGTTAAATCACTGTTCAGAATTTCACATGTTGTATCACATGTTTATCATGGTATAGAATTAAAGTAATTTACCTCTTTTTCCCTTTTATTTTTTAAAAAAAACTATTTAACATTTCTATTTTAAATATCGCTTTTTAAATGTATGACTAAATGTATCTTGAATTTCTGGAAGTTTATTTCTTGTCGTAGAAGGCTTTTCGTGATTATTTATCTTAAAACTGTTTCAGGCGGTGAACTGGAATTTGCATATAAAGATTAGATTGCAATTTTTAAAAATATTATAGTTTTCCGTTTTTAAATACTTTTCAATATTATTAAATTTATCAGAAAACACTTTGGAATGTTAGAATGTAATCTGAACTATGGCAATAAGAATAATAATAATAGATCACATGCAATACTGCAATAATACATTACAATACTGCAATTGTAGTTGTACATGCAATACATTGTTACATGCAATACTGCAGTTGTAGTTATAAAAACTATGGTACTTTTTCTTGCCACTAAAAAGCAAAACATAAAAACAAACTCATGCACAAAAATTCAACTAAGAAACGGAATAAGTTAGGAACAAAATCAAGTTTAAAACTAAGCATTGTATCAGCTTCTTGTTTACTGAAAGAATAGTTTTGAGGCAAGAACGTAGATTAATATTAATTGGAAGATGATAAGTGATGTGTTAGTAGAAAGGATGGAGTAGGTGTTAAAAAATCGAGATTTGATTCAGTTGATAATGAACAAGAGTTTACCACAAATTCGGTTTTTGGGGAAAATGTATTTAATTTTGTTTGTACAAAGTTCTCATCAACTTCAAATGTTATTCTGATTTCACAACAAACTTTTCAGTCTTTCCTGAGATTTTACTCAATTCCAACTTAGCACGATAGAAGACTTCAGATAATTGTTTTTGTCATCTAGAAGTCGTTTAGAAGCTAAACTTTTGTCATATGGAAACAAACCAAAGAGAATTCTCATTATAATATTCATCCTCTTAAAAAATATTACATTTCTTCGTAAAGCGAAATAGCGGAAACAATGGCAAACAACTTTGAAAAAATATTCACCTATAGTGACACAGACTATTCTGATGAAAACAATGAGGCTACTACCTTCTTAAATAATTTCAATTGTAAACCTTTTACTAGAGAAATTGTTTCTTATTCTACAGAAATTATCAACATTATTTCCGAACTTAAGCTTAGCAAGGTACGCGGATATGATAAAATTAATTATAAGGCGATTAATTATAATGCACTGCCTAAACAACGTTATAAAACAGCATTTGGCAATCTTTGGGGAAAGGAGGACAAACGGCTATGCAATATCTCAGAGGATGTTCATATACACTCATGTCTATAAATTAAGGATAATTCGGAGTCCCGAGGAAATCGAACTCTAAAATAAATATATCACCTGTAAAATCACTACACACATCTCCAAGAATCATATGCAAATTTAGGAAGTAACCAGATGACACCGATGGTACGTCACAATGAGGAGAGTGTAAGAGAGTGATACATAAGGAATACAAGCAAAGAAGTAAAAATGTTCGCAGGCGCTTTATAAGCATTTCAGTGCAATAACCGAATAGTTATTATACAAAGGACGCATTTGGATGATTTTTTACGTGGTAAAATTATCGGCCGTCTGGAATGTGGGCGTACCCAACTGGAAGTATCAGACGAACTTGGAATTGCCCAGAGTGTCATCTCCAGGCTTTGGCAACGATTCCAAGATGATGGTAATGTGAGTAGACGTTACAGCACAGGTCGCCCCAGAGTTACAACGCCGAATGAGGACCGGTATTTGGCAGTTACTGCCAAAAGAAACAGGCGGAGCACAGCCTCAGACCTGTCTCGTCAGCTCTCTTCAGCCACTGGTACGACAATTTCAAGGCAGACCGTGTACAGACGCTTAGGGCAGATTGGTCTATATGCTCGTAGACCTGTCAGATGCGTTCCACTTACTGCAACTCACTGTCGCCTGCGGTTAGCCTGGAGTAGAGAGCATGCACTTGTGGACACCGCAACAGTGGGCTTGTGTGATGTTTTCCGACGAGTCCAGGTTTAGCTTGCAGTCTGATTCTCGCCGGACTTTCATATGGAGAGCTCCAGGTACCCGTTACCACCAAGAAAACATCATTGAACGACACCGTTACGGTGGTGCAGGAGTGCTCGTTGGGGTGGAATTATTCTGGGTTCCAGAACTGACCTGCATGTTCAAATTGGAACCATGACAAGCCAAATCTATCGGGACGTCATTCTGGAACAACATGTACGTTTGTTTCGGGGCGCCATGGGCGCACAATTTTGGTTTATGGATGACAACGCCCGTCCTCACCGTGCAAACATCGTAAGCGAATGCCTTCAATCGGAGGATATCACCCGTATGGACTGGCCAGCATTCTCACCGGACTTGAATCCAGTAGAGCACGTGTGGGACATGCTTGGCCGACGAGTTGCAGCCCGTCAACCTCCTCCTACATGTCTACCGGAACTTCGGAGAGCATTGCTTTTTGAGTGGTGTAATATTCCCCCAAGATCAGATCGATAATTTGATACTCAGCATGCCTAGGCGTTGTACGGACTGTATTGCATCGTCTGGGAGACATACAATGTATTAACAATCATACCAACCATGTAATATTGGTTTTTTGTAAATAGTTTTTTTTTTTTTTGGTAATTTGCTCCAGGGAGAAAAATCGCTATTTTTTTAATAATATCAAACATATAGCATCTTTTTTGCTCTTTACCTTTTGTTTAATAAATAAGCTTTACAAATGAGTCAAAGTTTTTTGCTTCAAACTCTTCCTTTGCCTGATTTTGCATTATCCTTAATTTATGGACATGAGTGTAATTAATATAATATAATTAAATGTATTTCTAAAGTTTTAACGAAAAGCAAGAAAATTGATAGTTTTATTTGAACATAAATGTAAACGACAAAAAATTCGAATTCTTTTCTGCAAAATAAAAGCAGTTGTAAAGACATTAGGATTTTTTGGAAGCCAGAGAGATGAAAAATATGCAACCGCCTTCGCCGAGAATCGAACCACGAACCTCTGGAATACCGACCCAGCGTGCCGTTACACCACGAAGGCACGCTAGCAAAGTGGGAGAAATACCTTATACAGTTAGCGAAGATTACTTAATTGGATACTTACATTTGCTTACTGTGTGACAGATACTCCCAATCAGATGAAATTTTTCGATGACGAGAGCAAAAGATTATCCAGATTGTCTTCACTCAAGACTTGTTCTTAATATATTTTTAGTGCATTTCATTTCTTAAAAAAGCTGTTCACCAGTAGAAGCCCTTCCAAATAATAATCCCATCTGTCTAGCTTTATGTATTTATATTTTTTCCCTTGGCAGTACATATTGTTGTAGGAAACAGCATTCCGAAATTTGTTTCAAAGATTCACCTTATATGATATAAATTTTGTGCATTATGAGTTATATGAACGAAATATAATACTGTTAAGTGAATATAGCGCCAGAGTGTCGCTAGGTAACAAATAAAGTGAATTTTAAAGAATGTTTTTCTATTGTGGTTTATGCGCTGTCGCAAGTAGATTAATTCAATCCAATAAGTTTAATGAAATGCAAGAAAAAATGCGTATAATTTAATATTCCGTACAAGGAAGTCATGTGGTGTACACATCAGATTTTTTATTTCAGGATAGATACATAAATATGAGTTTTTAAAAATTTCCACATTTTCAAATTTATTTTACCAAATAATTAGTGTCTGCCTTCTATAACGTCCCGTAACGCAAATCCATCCTTTTCAGGAGGTGACTGACATTTGCCGTAGATATTTGCGTAAGTTCTTGTGTAGAACATCCACTCGATGTGGGAATCACATACTAAGGGGTTATCTAATAAAAAAAAACAACATTTATAGTAAATTCCAATATCAAAATGTTTTTTTTTATAAATTTAGCGAAATTCAAAAACAGAAATTAGAATTTGGTATCATATCTCCATTAAAGGCTTCTAATATTATCTTAAAAACGTATAAAAAATATTTGCATGCAAAGCAATAATAATATTTACCTATAAAAATATTTGATATTTAAAGTAATATTCATGAACATTCTCGATTCAATGACCAGAAATATAAATTCCGAGTTATATTATTTAGATGCAAAGAACATATACAATAAAGCTCTTCTTTATGTCTTTTTTCCATGCATTTTCTCATTTATGCAATTAGTTTCATTTTTTTGTTATAAAAGTGAAATGTTTTTGGCGTTTTTAAAATCTTTCGTAAAACTCTTTTTTGGTATTGGCATGCGGAAAAAAATCTAATAATGTCTGTTTTGTTAATATAGGCAGTCATGAGAAGATATTTCGAAATTTTGATATCTATTAGAGATTAGATGAATAAATCGCATCATATATTTATGGTTTTCGTAGTCTCTGAAGCTTTCTAAAGTTCTGAGTACAGTTAAAATGATATAGTATAAACCTAATTAACTACTTAATAGTAAGGGTTATGACTTAAAAATACAAATTTACACATGTGCAAGAGAATTTCCTTTTGTGTTAGGAAAGTGTACGTAAAAGAAAAGCGAAAAATATAAAATTGAAAATACCTTCTATTTATTGCACCATGCTTCAATTACTTATTAACTTTGATAAACAAAATAATAATTATAGTATTTTTAGAACACGCTTGTGCAAGGACATTTAGAAAATGAATTCACTAACAGGCAAAACATTTGCTTCTTCAGAGATCACTTAACTGCAAAAGAGTTTTTATTTCATTAAAATTTTGAATGATATCAGCATTGTAATAGAATAGCGTGCAAAACCTGTGCAAATTTTCTGATTTTTCCTGTAATTCCGCAAAAACATTAAATGAGAGACGTGAAATTCATACGAGAGAGGTACAATTCAGTACTTAAAGAATAGAATAGCAGCAAAGCAATGATTTATTTGGTTTGGTAAAGCCTCTGCAACGGTCGTTTGATATGATTTATTTGATTATAGCAAGGCGCTTGAAAGCTATCTGCTTAAGGGAAAGGATGCCTTCGTGGAAGCTTTTCTAAGGGAAACTGGCTCGTATACACATGGGTAAAATCACCCAAACGCCCATGCAGTCATTCCGTTCGCCGGGGTTTAAACCCCGGACTGAACTACCAGTGTTCAGAAAAAAGATGAATAGGACGCATACAGTATGGAACTAACAGAAAAAGGCTTTATTGACAAAATGGCGTCGGTACAAAAATATCTTGCCAAGAGGGAGAACAACAAAACTAAAGAGCCATAGTAAGGGATATAACATTCCTTAACTGCAATGGTTGCGTTGCGCAGTTTGTCGATACTTAATATCAAATTATCTAACAGTAATTGGGGTAAGAGTTCCCATTCTTCAAGGAGTATCTGTTGTCTGGTGTTCTCTGGAGTGTAAGATCGTGCCGCCAGGCGTTTCCCCAAAGCATTCCATACATATTCAATAGGATTTAAATTAGAAAGCAAGCTGCCAATCCATTCTGTCAAAATCTTCACTTTGTAGGAGCTCCTCAAGAGCATGAATCCTGTGTGGCCGTGCATTGTCATCCATAAAAAAAAGTCTTGTCCAATGGCACTTCGGAAAAGATGCACGTGAGGAAGGATAACTTCATCACAGTAACAATCTCAGGTAAGTAAACCTCTCTAGAAAACGTGGAGTTCCATCCGTCCGTTTATCATACCTTACCATACAATCTTGCCAGAAGCACTCTAGTGGTCTCTTTCTCTGATTTCTCTCCAATTCTCTCTTTTCCTGATTTCGAATCTTTATATCAGATATCACAATATCAAATGGTGTCTAGAATCGTTTGCCAGACTGAAATGACTCTCATCTTAAAGAGGACATGATCCATTAATGAGGTGTCCACTCTTGTGATCTCTACACGACTGAAAACTGTGCCGCCAATGGGCTGCAGTCAATGGTAAGCAGTTTTCAGGACAAGGGCGGATAGGTCACCTTCACGAGGTCGTCTGTGTCGTGCACAGCTATTGAGTAATGTTGCCCGCTGTTTGATTTCGATCACTTTTCGCCTAAAGGGCGATATATCGGTCATCAGCTACCGTTGTTTTCCATTGCCTATCACCACAAACCTTTCTTACAACTGTACCTGTTGTCTGCAAGGCTTTCCATGCTCGTGAAGGAACTCTTTTTAATTCTAAAGTCTTGAGAGTCAAATAATGCCCCTCAAGCATGCTAATCATTTTACCACGTGTGAAGGCGTCCTGATGTTTTCTCGCAGCCATACTGCACGTACGATCACATTTTCACTTGCAGGAGAGTGCTTGCAAATGCGACTTTCTTCTTTTTAATTTGCCTTGCACGGCGCGCGCTGACCCTTCGCATTTTGAGTGTTCTGACGTATCCTCTAACTTGATGGTGCTGATATCTGTATATTCATCACCTTTCTACTGAGTTGGCCTTTCATTGTACTGATCGCAAAAAGCCCTTTACAATAATTTCAAATTTATATGCTGAAAAATGAATTTGTGGCTTAAGTTTTGTTATCGCTATAAATGCTTTTTTTCTTGCGTCAATATCCTTTAGCTTTCTTGAAATACATGTTTTACTCTGTAATGAATAATATGTTTCGTATCACGAAGTAATGCATTTCAAGAAACTATGGGAGTTTACCCCAGATTTAAGAAACAAGCTGCAAACATAAAGGCAGAATCTAAGTTAAAGAACTAATTTCATTATACTTTTATAAACTATTCTTGATTTACATAAATGTAATTATTATATACCTAACTTTCAGTTCTCAGGATAAGACTAAATTTGTATAACCAGTTCTTCAAAAAATCTTAGCTCCAAAGATTTATCAGACAAGAAATCTCTATTCAGAAATACACCGAGGAAATTTATAACATGATTCTTAGAATCAACTAGATTCATTCTCTAAAGTCTCATCATATGCATCATTACTTACATATGCAATCATAAGCCCGAGAAGTATTTGTTTTAGAATTACGTTGTTTTCTTGAATAAATGAATATATTCCTTTAAGAAGAGAAAAACCTTTCGAGTTCTGAATAAACTTGGTGCTTGTTTTAAAATTTAAGCAAACCAAATCGCCTGAAAGCCAACCAACAGCCTAGCAGCCAACCTTACCAGTTGCTGAAAACTGTAGTTCCACCACGAGACAGTTTTCTTAGACGTTCAGGAAGATATGCTTCCCATTAGGCAGGTAGCCCTCGAGTGCTTCGACGTAATCAAATTAACCAAACCAAATCTAAAATCGCTAGGAGTGAGTTTCATATTTTAAGAAAGAGAGAAACATGTTATAAACAGAAAAAGGGAGAACCATGTTATTACATTATAATTTTTACTTTTCTTTTGCAATACGATGTCAGAAAAAATTTTGGTTTGTCCTGGCTAGTTTCATTTGCACATCTGCCAAAAGTGAACTTTTTTAATAAAGTTGATGATGGGAATTGTTTCATATATCCGACGTTTTTATCATGTTTATCAAGGTTCTATCCTTTTTACTTCCTTGTACGAAGTAAAAAGGAAGTATTGTAATCGCGAAAAGTTTCAGGCAGCATATTTTAACGAAAATATCCATTTTGACCGCTATTGAATGCAATTTAACGATGTTTTTGCGTGATATCTGTATGTAATGACAGAATAAAAGACTCTTTTCCTTCAAAAAAATTATAAAACTGCTTTAAAATTAATTCTGAAGAGAATTTTTTTCGTGGCGTCTGTACGAACGTAGTACGTACGTGCCGTACGTACGTATCTCGCATAACTCAAAAACGAGTAGCCTCAGAACGTTGAAATTTTGTATATAGGACTGCTATAACATGTAGATGTGCACCTCGTATTTTGGTTGCAATCGGCCGCACCAAACGTATATAAATATATTTATATATATATATCCACTCTGTTACCCGGCTCAGTGATCTCAGTTTTTTTACTCTTATATGTTTTGTAAATTGTACATTTTTTTTTGCTTTAAAAATGATTGAATTATGTTGTTTTTTATCTTCCGGTTAAGGGTTTTATGCCTTTAGTAAATCTGTGTGCAATATTTTTAGAATTATCAACAATTTTAAAGTTGTTTAATTGCCGCTTAAGGCTGTTTTTAATGGCGGCCATTGATGTTTACATTTGAAACAGGAGACTAGTGGATTTGTTGCCAATCTAGAGAAATTTAGCTTCGCAACAACAAAGATAACGCATTCATTTATTATTGCCAATTAAATCATGCTTAATTCTTTCTGGAATTTTTTCGAGGAAATAAGCGTTTGAAATTAACTTCGCAATTTTTAATATAGATATTTTGAGTTTTTATGTATTTTTGCCTTCTCGCGAAGTGAGAACTGAATTAATTAAATGAGAAATACTCAATCGTCTGTCAAAAACTTTTTATTTTGTTGTTGTTTGCTTAATTTCTTTTATACATATTTCTATCTTTATTATAGTATTTGAATAGAACATGTGGCAAAGATTAGATAATTCTTTAAATGATATAATTTTGTGCATTCTGAGTTATAATATGAATGAAATATAATACTGGTTAAGTAAACCTAGCGCCAGAGTGTCACTATGGTAAACAAAGTGAATTTTAAAGAATGCATTTATTCTATTGTGGTTTATGCGCTGTCGGCGAAGTAGGTTTAATTCAATCTAATAAGTTTAAATAAAATGCAAGAAAAAGTGCGTATAATTTAATATTCCGTACAAGGAATGTGGTCAATGGAAGGAATTCCGTACAAGGTCATGTGGTGTACACATCAGATTTTTTAGACTTGGCGGAAGGTTTGCCTATTAGTGCAGTATAGAGTCATTAGGTTTTTCTGAAGCAGTAGTACACGGAAAATGAACAATGCCCTCACCGGAACTCGAAACTGGACCTCTCGAATACGCGCCCAGTGTGCTACCGTTGCACTACGAAGGAATGCGGGAAGGAAGGAGAAGATACCTTATATACTCCAGGCGTGACTTGTTATGACTATAAGACCTACTTGTTTGGTTAAGTGGATCGGGGTGCTCCCATTTCTGGTGCTTTATGTACTCCGGCATGGGCTGTTATGACCATAGGACAAAATTGTTTGGTTAGGTGCGCCCACTTCCAGTGCTTGATAATACCTCCCCTTTTAAAGGGCGACTGGGGATGAGGGGACCTATTCGCTTTTCGCCTATTCTCCAAATCGTGATGGTGACGAATTATCTTCCATCACATTTTAGTTCAGGCGCTACTTGTAGAGTCATTAGGTTATTTCGAAGAAGGAGACGTGGAAAATATGCAGTGGCCTCACCGGGACTCGAATCCTGGATTTCGTCGAGTGTACTTCCGTTACACCACGACGGTATGTTGAAAGAAGGGGGAAAATACTTACAGCATAATTACCCCTAGTATTTTTGCTAAGACCTACAGAGAAAAAGATATTTTTGTTGGGAAGTTTGCAAATGAGTTCATTCATTCATTATTGGTGCATGTAATTCACATTTCGGCAATTTAATTTGCCATTCAATCTTAAAACACGTTTTGTTTCATTGAAAGCTTTAAAAGTTAAACCAAACATGCAGCAAAAGGGTTATAAACATTATATCTTACCATCAAGATGTATATCCTCCAGACTTTGCCATATAGGTTCCCAAGTTTTCCGTGGTAATTGAGTTATCATATTTTTTCTCAGAGAAAGGGTACGCAAAGCAGGCATGTAGATAAAGAAATCTTCTGGGATGCTCAGGAGATCGTTGTCGCTAAAGGAAACAGAACTAAATTTATGACACGTTCTGGCCTTTCAAAAAAGCTCTCTTTTATAAAAAAATTATAAGTAATTAAGATCGTAGAGCATTGGTAAAGTACTGGTGGTTCACAAAATTTCACAAATAATAAAATGAATGAAATAAATATCGAAATATATAAGAATTGCAAATTAAAAATATGTCTAAAATTTTAAGAGGTTCGTAATTATCCTTTGAGAAATTTTCAGAAATGTCATTAATAAATCTTATGACTTGAGTTAAACTCTAAGCAGATTCTGTAATTTATTTGATAGGCAAAATAATAGGCATTTTACCTTCTTTCCGTCCTTTGTATTTTATTAACGGTCAAGCGTTACTGGGACATATAATGTTTAGTTATTTTAACCGTAAGAAAATTTAAAATATACTATTTCAGGCAGTTTGAGCTTTAAATATGGAATCCGATTGTGATATCATCACGGTTATAGAAAAAGTTGCCGCATATTTTGCGCTTGTCAAAAGTGACTTTAGTTTTTCATTTTAATATGAGAATGGAACATTTCATGTTATTTCCGGATGCTGCCTTTCCTCCAAACCTCATTGTTAATTACTTGTAGCCTAGTCGCCCAACCGGTATAGTAATTAGCGTCGCTGACTGCCGTGTCGAAGGGCCCAGATTCGAATCCCGGAGAAGACATGGATGTTTGTAAATGTATAGTGTCCATTGCAACATGGAGGCACTCTAAATATGCTGCGAGCCGAAAGGCTTCTCGAGAGGTTGGTAATACGGAGAGAAGGGTGGCAGATCCTTGGACCCCTCCCCCAGTGGTGCTCTCCATCGAAACTGGGGGACGAAACTGAGCTGAGTCAAATCGCACTGTCTCTTGTAAGGTGCTCCAGGTTGTTGCCGACGATAGGCGTACACTTGCCCTCCTTGCCATGAGGATCTTTGTGGGCTTGGGCTGACTATAGGTTAGACAAGTAACCATTAGTAACCAACAACAGCAACAAGTAACCAACAATAGCAACAGCAACAAGTAACCAACAATAGCAACAGCAACAAGTAACCGACAACAGCAACAATTTTAACCTTAGAAACTCATCTTTAGTCATTTAAGTAAATAACCATAATGATTGAAAAACATCCATTGAGTTCTCATTTTTGAATTCAACAGCACTTATCGTTTCATCCACTTTTACTGTCTACGAAATGGATTACGTCAACAAGTTCCGACGGCTGCATGTGACCTGGACCGTGGCCTACGATAATGGACATACTAGAAACTGCAGTATTATATAGGATGCGCTTTCAAAACAGCATAAACACTGCACAGCGCGATTTGTCGGTTGGATTACAATAAAATGCTTGAAGAATTATACCTATAAATTTCGAGGAAAAGACTAAGGAAACGTATGACATCAGTTACATGGAAAATTAAGTTTATTGGATATGCGAACATTGGTAATTCTTTTTCTACAAAAGAAGATGCTCCATATCGAAGACCGTAGTGACTGAACACCCTTCAGATACTCTCATAGAAAGAAATAGAAAAGTGTCAGATCTGCCGATCTTGACGAACTCATAACAGGACCTCACTGCTCAGTCTAATCACTTAGCGGTTCCAAGTCATTAGACATAGGAATCATGAACATTGGAATCTCATATTAATTAAGAAGGTGCTCAAAATGACCACCGAGAATTTCAAGGTATGCTTGTTTTTGTTGTGTAATGGCTGACTGAACACTTTCCACCAGCTTGATGTCACAAAAGTGAACGCAATATGAAGACGTTTAACTACGTCTCTTTCTGTAGTAAGTGGTGCTTGACAAATCATTTTTTTTTCAAACAGCGCCACAAAAAGAAATCCAAATGACTGAAAAATATTGGCGAACTCTTAACCGGACTCCCACGTCCAGTTTGGTCACTTGAGTACTCCGTTAACATAACAACTACGTACAAAGGCATAGACATGTGCCGGTGGTCCACCATGGTAGAAATTACGATGAAGATATTTCATAGAGGAAATCAGTTAGTATATTACCGAGAAATATCAAGTATAAATGCCTGTCGAACCATGCAGGTAGACGATATAGTTCAATAATGCGATTATCAGCATGCCAGCCCCCCATTTACAGACCAGCCCGTCTTGATAACACTGCCCGCGGTTTTATGTGAAATGGGACTGTGACTACAGATCGCTATTAGGACTATTGAAGATTTCGTTGTATGGAAAACAAGGATAATTTGTCCGCAAGACACGTGCAATAAAATATTGTCGAATTTAATTTGCTGCAATAAGCTTTCACAGAACATAGCATAGCTGACTGATACTTTCAATGACAGTGATTGATAACAACGAAGTCATCAAAATGCTGACCTGGTAGAGTTCTGAAGTGAAATTGGGGCAATTATTCTGCCTGCGAATACTGCATCTTTCGCACTAAACTACCTACTTACTGTACGTGCATGTATTCAACTCGAAACCTGTTTCCATTAGTCTCAGTACCGAAATTTCTTATGACAGCGTCAGACCACTTTACTCTGTCATAAGAGAGTAAAGTGCTGTGAAGAATTTCTGTTGAGAGAACTCAGTCAGCTTAATTAGTATTCAACAGTATTTCAGTAATAAGACTGAGAAATACTTGAAACTAAGTTATGCTTTCACCAGAATGAAACATGGGATCTGCAATCATCACAAGAAAACATGAAGATATGACTTAATTACTAGTTATATTTCCTTCCTCTATAGGACTTAGTTCTCCGTGCGAATGGCGATCTCTAATCGACTAATCTTACACAATACGTAACTTTACGGGCTTTTTTCTTCAATGGCCAGACAGTCCAGGAGGGTCCCTTGTCTTCCTCAAAATCGAATTCCAAGCTCTTCTATCCCTGGCCATGGACATCCAATTGGTTATTTTTTAAATTCTTAAATCTGTTTCCAAACAGTCGAGCCATCTAAGTTTAGGTCTCCTTTCTTTTTCGGATGCCGAATGATCTGGCCGAGAAGATCTTTTTAGTTACTCGATTTTCATCCATCCTGCACAGGTGCCCTGCCCATTTAATTCTCTGAATCCTTATATATTTTACTGTATCTATTTCTTTCAGGATTTATAGAGTTCAGAGTTAGCTCTTCTTCTCCAGATATTGTTACATTTTATGCCACCAAATATGCTTCTCAAAATGTTTCTTTCAAAGACAGAAATGATACTTTTAGCTTTTTCTGTCATTGCCCAGGTTTCAGCAGAGTATGCAAGAATGGGTCTGATTACGCCTTTTGTAAATTAAAATCTTTGTTTTTCTGCTAGTGAAGTTAGACTTCAAGTATTTTTTGAGACCGAAAAAACATCGGTTAGCATCTGTGACTCTACTACGGATATCAGGCATTAAATCATTCTTCTGATCTAAATATTTAAATATGCTAATAGTTTCAAATTTGTAATTCCCAATTTCAAAATAGGGGCTGCTGTTATTACCACATGGCATGTATTTAGTTTTATTTTGATTAATTGCTAGATGCATTTTGCTGGCTGCAGCCTATAGAGATGTAAAAACCCCTATAAGTGACTTGGGACTGCGTGCAACTATGTCAATATAGTCAGCAAACGCAATTACGGGCTTTCAGTGTAGAAAAAATTAAAAAACAGGAGGGAAGAGAAAATTAAAAAATAAACTGCGGCTCCACGCAGAATCGAACTCGGGGTCTTTGAGGTTTCGGATTGATGCCCTAGCCATTGTACAAGATTGCATGGGTGAAATGCATTTATTTTTTTCATATTACAGTCAAAGGTCGTTAATTCGGACACCCATAATCCGGAATGATCTATAATCCGGACCTCAAAGCTCCAAACTTTCTGCGCATGCGTCGCGTTGACGCATGAGCGTAAGACCTTTACGGCTGCGAATATCCGTGTGCGCATGCGCAAAATACGTTTACGAGTGCGCGTTTAATGTATAACGGACGGTATAAGCTAAGCTAAAAGTATCTAATTCAGTTAATGTTGCAGATTGCGTTGTTTCTTAATCTTCGAATTGGATCCGGCTTATTATTTTTTGCAGATTGTTAGAGCAATTTTATAAAAGTAAGCTTGAACTTTCGATTATGTCAAATAGAATTTCTGATATATATTTACTAATATGTAAAGGATCTACAAAGCGAAAGTATGTTTCGAAGTCCATTAAACAAAAAGTGGAATTGCTGCAAAAAAATGGATAAAGGCATATCCTTTGTTTTATCTAAACTTTAACGTTTGTTTATCTAAACTTTGTTTATCTTTAACGCCGCAGCGCGCAATGAATTGGAAGTTGATCTGTCAGCACTATCCTTATCTTCAGGGCAGATGTTTTAATTTTATTTGGCTTATAATTCCTTACTAAATGTAGTATTTCATCTCGATGTACTCCGTCTTTGATATGATTTAAATCAAATTCCTCGTCATTATAATTCGCTTCCGATAGTGAAGAAAGTGACAGAGGTTATTGAAAACGAAAAAAATTTCGATTGACAAATTAGTCGGTATTCTCGACACAGCAATTATAGGACTTGAACAGCGGAACTTTGTAACTGAACAAGAAATTATGTCTGTTTATAGAATTAAAGAGAAAGTATTATCGCATAAAACGAAGCAACTTAAACAACTTACATTGAAAGAAATGTTTAATAAAGTAAACAAATAAATATTAAGCTTTTTTTTTGTAAATTTTGATACCCTTTAGATCATAATTGTTCTTTATTTCATAAATTACGTTTTCATATTTTTAATTTTATAATTTCTGCATGCCATCTTACCAGATTTAAACTGATGATCTATAATCCGGAAAAATCGATAATCCGGAATCGCCGAAGTCCCGATAAGTCCAGATTAACGACTTTTGACTGTACTTTCTAATTCCGTTATTGTTTTCAGGAAATAGATCTGGCATCTTATCAAAATTAAAAATATTGTCACTTGAAGAAAACATATGTGGCAAGTTATCTATGCACAGTTACTTATTGAGTAACTAAAATTTTTTTTATTGAATTAAGACCTACGTCTCCAAATGGCAATTCATGATGAAATAAAGTTGCAGAAAGTTATTTTTCACTCATTTCGTTTGCCATTTTGGATAGTGCCTTTTAATTATGAAGTTGTACGTTTTCTATCATTAGTTTTCTATAGGTGCTACGTACAAGGAAGTAAAACATTGTGGTGGATTATTTGGGGACTGGAAAGGATTAATGGCATTTAAATGCATTCAACGTGAAAAATTTCTTCAGGATATGAGTAGATCGATTTACGAGCTCAGTCAGGGAAAGAATTAAATTCGTATGCTGATGCACCATTGTATTTCCGGAAACGAAACTGGTATTTTCGGTAAGTTAATGGAGAATTTTATATTTCATACATACTAAGGATAAAGATCCATTTTCAATAATCTATACGTGCCGTTACTAAGGGGATAATTTTATACTCGTGCTTGCTAAGGTTCAGAAGAAAACTTGCTGCATGGACAGAAATTAAGCCATGATGTCGGAACTCTTGTTAAATTGATTCAGCAATTTTCATGTTACTGCATTCAGATTAAACTGAATATTTTTGCTTTCGGAATATTTATTAAAGACACTAAAATAATTGCAGTATCCTTGTCCAACGTTTATGTATATAGTTTAGTACACATACGCAAGACCTGACAAACGTGTTCATGCCGCAGAAAATGAATTCTTTCTGAAAGGTAAGCAACCACTCACGCACTGCAGACTGAAACTCATTGTCATCTTTGAAACTGGTTCCAACAGAAAATGTACCCAGCTCTTACCTCCGATGATGGTATTCCACAGCAATGTTTCATCAACAATCTCATACCGATGAATAAGTTCTTAGGTAACATCGAATTTCATTGCTTCATGTGAGGTATAGGGCTCTTCGAGTACTCATCCTGAACACATTTTTTTGTATTTCAGTACATCATGAATTATATCACATGCTGATCCAATATTAATTTACAGTAGGGATGCATTTTTTTTGATTATGAAGGTCCAGCCCATTTCCTTTACCATTTTCTGAACTACTTTAAGATTCTCCTCTGCAATACCTGGACCCAGCGAAGAGATTCCTCCACTATCGTGACGCTAGTTTCAGCTCTTTGATACGTTCTTATACCTGTTTGCGCACTAAAATTTCGTCCTTCATAGGCTTTACTTTTTCTGTTAGTAAAATTCACAGACTATTACATTGCTCTTTTAAGTGCATTGTTGCTAGATCATCCTAATTTTGTCAAAATGTTTCCAATGGAAAGGTATTTTCAATTCTCTTTCCTACATTTGTCTGTGAGTCTCAAGTGTGCTGACACCCTTTGTAGCTCAAGATCACCATTTTTATTCTCTACTCTACTCTATTCTAATCTAGGCAGTAATGGTGTCTGTCCTCCATCTAATTTAATCGGGGAGGGTAGCCGCGTGCAAGGGATATTTATTCTGTAGTAAATTGAACTGACCTAGAAACCATTTGTTCAACAAGATTTAAATATTATCCTGGTTATCGCTCTATGAATAAAAGAAAAATTTAACGATATACTGTAAGAATTCTGTATTCTCTTATACTTTAATGAAATTTCCTGCAGAATTAAAAATGGAGATTAAAAACTTTTATCAAGTTTCTTTTAATTATAACTTACTCAAGTTTCACGTCAGAGAGATAGTGAGCAGGATACGGCAGCATGGATCGCTTCACCGAACCAAAGCGATTCCCGTCCAGATGGAGAACTTTCAGGTTATACAAACTGGCAAAAGCTCTGTCTCCAAGTTTTCGAATGCCGTTATTGGAAAGTATCAGAGTATGCAGCGAGACAGGTCCATAAGCAAACCAGTCATTTCCTAGCTCATTGATGTCGTTATGCGACATATCCAATTTTTTCAATCTGCGCATGTGACTGAGATCCAGTTTTGTAGCGCTGTAGTCTTCTTTGAAACTGGCCATAATTTCTAGTTCCTAAATATTAACACATCAAAGCATACAATTTATTACATAACCACACACCAGCATACATATAATTACATACATATGTATACATATATGAATATATAATAGATCACAAAATTAAAAAAAATATCCCAATACATTTCTGCACAATATGCTTCAGAAAATTAATCAATTATAGACAAAAAGTAAGAAGTTTAGAACAAAATTCACAAAGACATGAACGAAATTAAATTCAGTACTGTATCGTCATCAGGGCATTGGTGCAATGAAAGAAAGATATAAATCAACCTCTTTCTGAAGTAACAAAGACACAACGTTTAAATTTTAAACCTAGAAAAACAATCATCAAATCACCTGCATTATATTTATTCGATGTTTTTTTCTTTTACAAATTATTCGTTTTCACTGCACCATATTTAATTCTACATTACAGGATTTTTCTAAAGTTTTTATTAATATTCATCGGTTCAAAATTCTTAATTTATCTAAATATAGTACTTAGCACATTTTAAGCTTAGCAAACAGTACTTTGCCACTAAGCAGGTGGAATATATTCTTTCATTTCAAACGTTCTGGCTGTAATATTACAGGTTTTAAGAGTTAACCTCTTTTTTTTTAATTTAATTTTTATTTATATTTTATAACATATTTTTTAGATCAAATTTTCATTTATTACTTTTTCATATTGTTGCGTGCGTAGGGGTTCGTTATGAAGTGAATGCACAAGTCCGATGAAAAATGACCAAAAACTTTTTTATTATCACAACAAAAATGCTTAAATTTTCTCAAATTATCATGCAGTATTACAATATCTCACAGTAGTTATCTTTTAACTACTCAAATGTACAATAGAACGTAATTCAAAACAGCTAAAGAACGCTAATCCGCGAATTCGCTACAATCAACAACGAGCAGTTTTCTAAACAACAACAAACTAAGCAACTACTACAAACTGAGATGTTTTCCTCCTTTTATAAGATTTTAAAATCACGCGCTAGAATTTTCCAGTACTTTCTCGAAATCAAAAAGAGATATTTATTTATTTAATGCACGCGCTCTTGTATTTTCAATTTTCCGGCTTAGCTTTCTTTTAATATTCGTCACGCGCTGCACTGCGCGAGAAATAAAACCATTTAATTTATAATTGAACTAACATTAGCTTTTTAAATACCAAATTCGTAACACTGCCCCCTTCCCAAGGACTGCACGTCCCGGGCAGTACAATCCCTGGACAGGAAGCTAAACTTACAACTGTGGCATAAACATTACATTACAATATCAAACAACATGAACAATAAATGCAATAACTAACTTAAACAAATCAAATGCTATCAAATACTAAATACAAAACAAAGACTAAATACAAATCAAATACTAAATGCAAATCAAATACTAAATACAAATCAAATCAAATACACATTTAAAAACAAAAAGGACCATGGTCTGATACTATTTACAATTATTTACATTATGTACTATGGCCATAGTAATGAGCTAACCTGTCGTAAGAGTTCGAAGACTCACGGATCCGAACCACGATGTCATTCGTGTTCCGCTCCGCACTGTATATGGACCATCCGAAGGTGACTGCAATTTAGGACTCAGTCCTTTTCGTTGAATCGGGTTCCACAACCACACCTTGTCTCCTTTGTTGGATCTATGTCTAGTAGCTCTTGTGTCGCATCTGGTCTTCATTTTCTCCGTCGCCAAGTTGACTCGCTTTCGTGCAGAACGGTGCATCCCCTCAAACCTGGGCGTCTTGGATGTGTTCCTCAGGCGATGAAGGCGCATCCAGGCGACTAAACAGGCGGTCACAAGGCAGACGAAGGTCTCGACCGAAGAGCTTCTGGGATGGAGAATAGCTGGTAGTCTTGCGTTTCTTTTCGACCCTGGTATGATTTCGGCAGCTTCCCGAGCTGGATCTTTCGGACAAGGCGTCGACATTTCCAGGCGAGGATCCCTTTTGAGGATGGATAGTCATGCCATCAGATGCTGAAAGCAGCTTATTGTTTTTGAAATCTAAGGAAAAATTGTATTTCCTTAAAAAGTCCAATCCGAGTATGCATGGATCTGTAATATCCGCCACATATGCCGTGTGATGGTAGGCGGCACTTCCAAACGTGATGTTTACGTTTAACTTCCCAGTTATGTCGATCTTGTCACCAGACGCAGTCTGAAGGGTAACACAGGATGGCGTCCAAATAAGTTTATCTTTAAACTGTTCAGCTAAATCTTTCCTAATGATGGTAACATTAGCTCCTGTGTCAATGATCATATTGCAAGGAACTCCATCGATATTCCCATTGATGGACAGTCCGTTATTGTTGCCACTCACTATAGAGATCTTAAGCGCTTTAAAACAGGGTTTTTCATTATCTGGCAACCTCCGTTCCTTGATATGGTCATTAATTTGTTTCCTGCGTCGTTGCTCAGAAATTGTCTCAATTTTCGTACCCTGGGGTGTTCTGCAATTCTTTCGTACGTGGCCTTCAGCTCCACAGTTCCAGCACTTTGGTTTCTTGTCAGTCCTTTTCCTTCCCGTGGCATTTAATTGTCTGTTTAAATCGTATGCCTTATTTTCCGTGCTCTGGGGAGTTCTGCAGTTCCTTCGTAGGTGGCCTTCAACACCGCAATTCCAGCACTTTAGGGTCGGTTTCGTTTCACCACTATTCCGTCTTAAAGCATTCACTGGTCTTGTCAACTCATCCGTTTTATTATCCGTGCCCTGGGGTGTTCTGCAATGCCGTCGTAGGTGACCTTCAGAACCACATCTCCAACATCTTACAGCCACTTTGTTCTCACTGCTACTCCGTATCAAAGCATCGACTTGTCTGGATAAATCATCTAAACGAGCCATCAATTGGTCCCCTGGGTCGTGGACTCGCACAGCTCTGACTGGGTAGCGATCTCTAAGAGTTGCTTGCTGGGCTGCCTCCAATTTCACGGCGTACAACAGAGCGCTTTTTACATCTTTAACATCCGCCATTCGCAGAGCCTTCTGTATTTCAGGGATCCCGGATGCCATCGATGAAATATTGCAGCGACAGGATTTCCCTTGTTTCTCTCGGGCACTCCGTAAAGGCGAGGTGGGACAGCCTTTCAACATCCGTGGCGAGTTCCTGGAGTGATTCGGTGGGCTTCTGTTGACGGGATTTTAATTGAAGCCTGCTGTAGTCTTTTAAACATTTCTCGCCAAAGCGCAGCTCCAATGCGCCGGATAGAGCTTCGAAATCTAAGTCTTTGTTTTCGGGAAGCGTCTGCAGGATATCCGCTGCGTCTGCTCTCAGAGAAGCGGCGAGATGACAGGCCTTAGCTTGGGAATCCCATCCATTCGCATCCGCCAACGATAGAAAATTGTGTCTTATACACTTGCCAGGAGGTCTTCCCATCATATGTGGATAGCTTCAGAAAGGGACGAGCAGGCATCGGTAAAAATTTAAAACCATCACTAATTGCTTCCCTGCCGTCGCTACGAATTTCTTTAAAGTATCCACTTCTTTGGCACTGCAGAAACCCTATCATCAATTTGTTGTTCGATTTGGTGTTGGACGGCACAAAAACTCTTCCTTCTATATGTTCTTTTACAGAAGAAACTCTTTCTTCTATTTCTTCTTTCACCGAAGAAACTCTTTCTTCAATTTGATCTTTTACAGAAGAAACTTTTTCTTCAATTTGTCCAACTTTATTTTCAACTGTGTCAATTCTGCCTTCCATAGCTTCAAATTTATTTTCTATTATGCAGGTAATTTCTCTTTTCATTTCTTCTTGACCAGCTTGAACGGCTTTCATTTCGTCCTTAACGGATTCCTGGCCCAATTTCATTTCTTCTTTAAATGAGGCAAAGGCTGATATTAAATGCCTTAATTGCCTTCCATCGCTCTTGTTATTGGCATTCAAATCCCACTTCTGACACCAAAAATTGTTGCGTGCGTACGGGTTCGTTATGAAATGAATGCACAAGTCCGATGAAAAATGAACAAAAATTTATTATTATCACAACAAAAATGCTTAAATTTTCTCAAATTATCATGCAGTATTACAATATCTCACAGTAGTTATCTTTTAACTACTCAAATGTCCAATAGAACGTAATTCAAAACAGCTAAAGAACGCTAATCCGCGAATTCGCTACAATCAACAACAGTAGTTTTCTAAACAACAACAAACTAAGCAACTACTACAAACTGAGATGTTTTCCTCCTTTTATAAGATTTTAAAATCACGCGCTAGAATTTTCCAGTACTTTCTCGAAATCAAAAAGAGATATTTATTTATTTAATGCACGCGCTCTTGTATTTTCAATTTTCCGGCTTAGCTTTCTTTTAATATTCGTCACGCGCTGCACTGCGCGAGAAATAAAACCATTTAATTTATAATTGAACTAACATTAGCTTTTTAAATACCAAATTCGTAACACTGCCCCCTTCCCAAGGACTGCACGTCCCGGGCAGTACAATCCCTGGACAGGAAGCTAAACTTACAACTGTGGCATAAATGCATTAATAAGCATTACATTACAATAATAAACAACATGAACAATAAATGCAATAAATAAAACAAATCAAATGCTATCAAATACAAATCAAATACACATTTAAAAACAAAAAGGACCATGGTCTTATACTATTTACAATTATTTACATTACGTACTATGGCCATAGTAATGAGCTAACCTGTCGTAATGAACGACTTTAGGTTTAGAGTTCGAAGACTTACGGATCCGAACCACGACGTCATTCAGCCTGTTTAGGACTGTGTGCGGACCATCCGAAGGTGACTGTAATTTAGGCCTGACTCCTTTTCGTCGAATCGGGTTCCACAACCACACCTTGTCTCCTTTGTTGGATCTATGTCCAGTAGCTCTTGTGTTGTATCTGGGTCTTCACTTTCTCCGTCGCCAAGTTGACTCGCTTTCGTGCGGAAACGGTGTGCATCACTTCAAAACGGGCCTGACATCTTGGATGTGTTCCTCAGGCGATGAAGGCGCATCCGTAGGGCGACTGAAACAGGCGGTCACAAGGCAGACGAAGGTCTCGACCGAAGAGCATCTGAGATGGAGAATAGCTGGTAGTCTGGTGTTTCTTTTCGACCCTAGCATGATTTCGGAAGCTTTTCGAGCTGGTTCTTTCGGACAAAGCGTCGGCATTTCCAGGTGAGGATCCCTTCTTAGGATGGATAGTCATGTCTTCAGATCCTGAAAGCAGTTTGTTGTTTTTGAAGTCTAAGGAAAAATTGTATTTCCTTAAAAAGTCCAATCCGAGTATGCATGGATCTGTAATATCCGCCACATATGCCGTGTGATGGTAGGCGGCACTTCCAAACGTGATGTTTACGTTTAACTTCCCAGTTATGTCGATCTTGTCACCAGACGCAGTCTGAAGGGTAACACAGGATGGCGTCCAAATAAGTTTATCTTTAAACTGTTCAGCTAAATCTTTCCTAATGATGGTAACGTTAGCTCCTGTGTCAATGATCATACTGCAAGGAACTCCATCGATATTCCCATTGATGGACAGTCCGTTATTGTTGCCACTCACTATAGAGATCTTAAGCGCTTTAAAACAGGGTTTTTCATTATCTGGCAACCTCCGTTCCTCGAAATGGTCACTAATTTGTTTACTGCGTTGTTGCTGGGAAATGGTCTTATTTTCCGTACCTCGGGGTGTTCTGCAGTTTCTTCGTATGTGGCCTTCAACTCCGCAGTTCCAGCACTTTAGAATTAGGTTTCTTTTCACTTCTGTTCCGTCTCAAAGCCATTCACTTGTCTGGTAAAATCATCCGCTTTATATTCCGTGCCCTGGGGTGTTCTGCAATTCCGTCGTAGGTGACCTTCAGACCACATCTCCAACACCTTAGAGCCACTTTCTTCTCGCTCCTACTCCGTATCAAAGCTTCGACTTGTCTGGCTAAATCATCTAAACGAGCCATCAGTTGATCCACTGGCTCGTGGACTCGCACAGCTCTAACTGGGTAGCGATCTCTAAGAGTTGCTTGCTGGGCTGCCTCCAATTTCAAGGCGTACAACAGAGCGCTTTTCAAATCTTTTACATCCGCCATTCGTAGAGCTTTCTGTATTTCAGTATCTCGGATGCCGTCGATAAAGTATTGCAAGGACAGGATTTCCCTTGTTTCTGTCGGGCATTCCGAAAAGGCGAGATGGGACAGCCTTTCAACATCCGCGGCGAGCTCCTGAAGTGTTTCGGTAGGCTTCTGTTGACGAGATTTTAATTGGAGCCTGCTGTAGTCTTTTAAACACTTCTCCCCAAAGCGCAACTCCAAGGCGCCGGACAGAGCTTCGAAATCTAACCTTTTGTTTTCGGGAAGAGTCTGAAGGATATCCGCTGCGTCGGCTCTTAGAGAAGCGGCGAGATGACAGGCCTTAGCTTGGGAATCCCATCCATTCGCATCCGCCACGATAGAAAATTGTGTCTTATACACCTGCCAGGAGGTCTTCCCATCATATGTGGATAGCTTCAGAGGTGGACGAGCAGGCATTGGTAAGAATTTAAAATCATCACTCCTGCTCCCTGCCGACGCTACGAATTTCTTTAAAGTATCCATTTCTTTGGCAACTGCAGAAACTCTCTCATCAATTTGTTTTCTTTTACAGAAGAAACTCTTTCTTCTATTTCTTCTTTCACCGAAGAAACTCTTTCTTCAATATGTCCAACTTTATTTTCAACTGCGTCAATTCTGCCTTCCATAGCTTCAAATTTATTTTCTATTATGCAAGTAATTTCTCTTTTCATTTCTTCTTGACCAGCTTGAACGGCTTTCATTTCGTCCTTAACGGATTCCTGGCCCAATTTCATTTCTTCCTTAACGGATTCCTGGCCCAATTTCATTTCTTCCTTAAATGATGCTTGGCCAGCTTCCATCTTTTCTTGGAATGCAGCAAAAAGCAGTAATGAGCTGTCTCAATTGTTCTTCCATCGCTCTTGTTATTGGCATTCAAATCCCACTTCTGACACCAAAAATTGTTGCGTGCGTACGGGTTCGTTATGAAATGAATGCACAAGTCCGATGAAAAATGAACAAAAATTTATTATTATCACAACAAAAATGCTTAAATTTTCTCAAATTATCATGCAGTATTACAATATCTCACAGTAGTTATCTTTTAACTACTCAAATGTCCAATAGAACGTAATTCAAAACAGCTAAAGAACGCTAATCCGCGAATTCGCTACAATCAACAACAGTAGTTTTCTAAACAACAACAAACTAAGCAACTACTACAAACTGAGATGTTTTCCTCCTTTTATAAGATTTTAAAATCACGCGCTAGAATTTTCCAGTACTTTCTCGAAATCAAAAAGAGATATTTATTTATTTAATGCACGCGCTCTTGTATTTTCAATTTTCCGGCTTAGCTTTCTTTTAATATTCGTCACGCGCTGCACTGCGCGAGAAATAAAACCATTTAATTTCTAATTGAACTAACATTAGCTTTTTAAATAACAAATTCGTAACAATATGTTTAATTGCTTCTGTTTTACGTGTTTTTTTGCACTCGGTTCACTTAAAATGTAAATTATTATTATTTTGATGCCACAATTTTTTACCTGACCTGTATGGTTTCAAAATTAACATATGTTTGTACTTTTTCATGTATAGGGCTTGTTTATATTTGCAAGTTTTGTTTTTTAGACTCAATCTGCTCAAAATAATATTTTATGCATTTTTAAATTTGTTTCTTCTTTTCATGTTATAATTTTGCAATTTGTTACACTGCTTACTTCGGCCTGAAGTGGTTGCACTGATAAAGACGCAGATTACTTTGATTGTTTTTCTTAGATTATTTTATGTTTTAAATTTTGTGTCTTTGTTGGTTCAGAAACAGGATGTTTTCCTTACTTCTTTCACTGCATCAACCTCCTGATGACGATACAGAAAATATAATAAATTTTTCGGTTCGGGCATGTTTTACACCCTCCCCCTTTTCTTGTAGTTTGTCACTGCCTTTCTGGTTTTTGGCCTCCCACGTGATTTATTCCGAATTGAATATGTAACGAATTTTAAATGTATTATTTATTTCAATTTTTTTGCATTATATATACATAAATTGTATACATACGCACATTATATATATTGTTACGAATTTGTATCTTCAGAAGTAATTTTAGTATAATTATAAGCATGGTATCGCTTGTATAATGTAACATGAAAGCCCTCAGAATGCGAAGCATCGCCGGTAAAAATAACTCTCCAGTGCAAGATACTCGCCGAGTGTGCTACCGTTACACTACGAAGGCATGCTAGGAGAAGGTACAAAATACCTTACATACTCCCCCTTCTAAAGGGCGATTGGGGATGACGGGACTCAATCGCTAAATCCTGGTGTTAACGAATTAACGACCACCACCTTTTTGTTTTCCAGGAATTTTACTTTTAGGACTAACGCCTCTATGCCATCAAGAATGTATATCTTGCTCAACTCTACAGGACATACCAAACTTACTAGAAATTATTTATGTATCGACGCTGTATTTTTTATAGTTTGCTGCATTATAAACTTTCAAAACCCTGAAAAAGAACTAAGAATCACCTCGTATTTATCACAATGTGTCCTAAACTAGTATCAAAAATAGACACCTAACGCTTCTCTACGTATAATAAAATAAAGCATCTGTCCGTGTGTGTGTCTTTCGTTCATGCTTGTGCGTAAGCTAATAGACCCAAGGTTACGAAATTTGGTACATAGGTGCATCTAGATAAAAGACAGCGCACATCGAAGAGAATTTTTCAAAATTCGAATCAGATTTTTTTTTTTAAATTTTATCTTTTTTGATGAAATAGCATCATTTTGAATAGTTTCATTCTTTTGGAAATGGCAACAGTTTTTCATTCAATGCTTTGTATACTGGACTGTTGACTGTTGAGAATATGAGATAAAATATTATTAATTATACTTTCCTTTTCAGAATTTTTTTTTTGTGTTTCTTTCATGTTATTTATTGCTTATTTCACTCTTTTTAAGATATTGAAAAGTTTAGCATGATTTATTTTTAGGAAACAAAGTTTTTAGCTTCCTTTATACCATTTGAATTCTTAAGATTTTGCTACGGGAAGTTGGTTAATTTATTTATTAGGATAATAAATGTTGGTATTAAGGGATACTGCATATTTCATTGTAATGTTTTAATACATAATACACTTTTATTGAAATCAGTGTTTTTTTTTTTTTTTTTTTTTTTTTTTTTTTTTTTTTTTAATAAAGTTGTTCTGCAGAGTAAAACTGTGCCGTTTTTAATGTTTGGTATTCCCTTTCGGCATTTTTCGGTATTTCGGCATTTTTCCGATAAAAGCCAAGACGAAGGCTGTCTGCGTGGCGGCTAGTAGTAAATAAGATAGAGATACATGTAATAAATATTTACTTATGACGCATAATATTTCCACTATATAGAACATAAGATATTATTATATGTGGTATAAAGCGATACTAATATCAATAATTTATTTTTAACTAAAAAATTTTGGAAATTTCTTAAAACATTTTGCCAGCCGATATCTAATACGTAATTAAGAACTATATATTCTTTAAGAACTTACTTCCAAAGTGTCCTCTAGTCCTCGAAGTGCAGGTCCAGTAACATCGGTCAAGCTGATCAAGTTACAGTGGGAGATATCAAGTTTCTTGATTCGAAGTCCTTCAAAGAAATCTGAAGCTAGAACTCCTAAATTAATTTCGTCTAACTGGACAGCGATATTGTCGATTCCTTTGACAGTGTCCAAGACATTTCTCAGATGTGAGTAGGATATATCTCTGTCGCAAGACAAAATAAGGCTGAATTCTTCGTCAGAGTCATCGCAACCGCAAGGTGATATAACTTCATCTGCTGGGCATTTAGCAGAATAAGCAGAAACACCGGAGACAGCAAGGACTAGGAATATGAGGTTCGCCCAGGATCTCATCTTTATTGGCAGACTGTTTTAATATTTTTATTAAAAGAAAAAGATAAATGTTTAAAAAAGTAGCATTCATAAGGCATGATATTTGAATAATGATTTAGGTGTATTTCTAGGTTCTTAAAGCTGCATTTTAAGAATATTTAGCACATGAAAAACATTTATGAGTATAATTTTTATCATTTTGTTTGATCTAGAATGTGCATTAATTTTATTAACTTAAAAAAAAAAAAAAAAAAAAAAAAAAAAAAAAGGCTTCTCTGACAAATGAAATATTTCCGGGATACTACGTCCCTTGTAAGGTTTATCCTAAGTTTTTACCAGTTAATTTTTAGTTAAAGCCCCTTTCCTATCTTTCTTAATTTCAGCTTACAGTTTCCTGTCAGAACGTGTTTTCAGAATCGCGGTTAAATGCAAAGTATTTAAAGTGAAAGTTCTACTGACTTCGTTAGAGAGCCATGGGTTCTGACCAGTACGGATTCGCCTTTTAGGCTACACTCTCTCTAAGCTACACTCATGTCCATAAATTAAGGATAATTCGGAGTCACGCGGAAATCGAACTCTAAAATAAATATATCACCTGTAAAATCCCTACACACATCTTCAAGAATCATATGCAAATTTCAGGAAGTAACCAGATGACACCTATGGTACGTCACAATGACAAGAGCGTAAGAGTATGATATATAAGCAATACAGGCAAAGAAGTAAAATTGTTCGCAGGCGCTTTATAAGCATTTGAGTGCAATAACCGAATAGTTATGACACAAAGGACGCATTTGGATGATTTTTTACGTGGTAGAATTATCGGCCGTCTGGAATGTGGCCGTACCCAACTGGAAGTATCAGATGAACTTGGAATTGCCCAGTGTCATCTCCAGGCTTTGGCAACGATTCCAAGATGATGGTAATGTGAGTAGACGGTACAGCACAGGTCGCCCCAGAGTTACAACGCCGAATGAGGACCGGTATTTGGCAGTTACTGCTAAAAGAAACAGGCGGAGCACAGCCTCAGACCTGTCTCGTCAGCTCTCTTCAGCCACTGGTACGACAATTTCAAGGCAGACGCTTAGGGCAGATTGGTCTATATGCTCGTAGACCTGTCAGATGCGTTCCACTTACTGCAACTCACTGTCGCCTGCGGTTAGCCTGGAGTAGAGAGCATGCATTGTGGACACCGCAACAGTGGGCTTGTGTGATGTTTTCGGACGAGTCCACGTTTAGCTTGCAGTCTGATTCTCGCCGGGCTTTCATATGGAGAGCTCCAGGTACCCGTGACCACCAAGAAAACATCATTGAACGACACCGTTACGGTGGTGCAGGAGTGCTCGTTTGGGGTGGAATTATTATGGGTTCCAGAACTGACCTGCATGTTCAAATTGGAACCATGAGCCAAATCTATGGGGACGTCATTCTGGAACAACATGTACATTTGTTTCGGGGCGCCATGGGCGCACAATTTGTGTTTATGGATGACAACGTCCGTCCTCACCATGCAAACATCGTAAGCGAATGCCTTCAATCGGAGGATATCATCCGTATGGATTGGCTAGCATTCTCACCGGACTTGAATCCAGTAGAGCACGTGTGGGACATGCTTTTGCCGACGAGTTGCAGCCCGTCAACCTTTTCCTACATGCCTACTGGAACTTCGGAGAGCATTGCTTTTTGAGTGGTGTAATATTCCCCCAAGATCAGATCGATAATTTGATACTCAGCATGCCTAGGTGTTGTACGGACTGTATTGCATCGTCTGGGAGACATGCAATGTATTAACAATCATACAACCATGTAATATTGTTTTTTTTGTAAATAGGTTTATTTTTGTAATTTGCTCTAGGGAGAAAAAATCGCTAATTTTTTTAATAATATTAAACATATAGCATCTTTTTTTGCTCTTTACCTTTTGTTTAATAAATAAGCTTTACAAATAAGTCAAATTTGTTTTGCTTCTAACTCTTCCTTTTCCTGATTATGCATTATCCTTAATTTATGGACATGAGTGTATTTCTACGCTCGGCCGTATTTCAGGCCCTTGATAGCTTCGCCATTTAGTTAGCGTTAAGGGACCAACCCTTGTAGAATTTTGATAGCTTCGGCTGTATCTTTTTAGTTAAGTTTTATTTCTTAGTATTCTTGAGTTCAAGCCCAAGTAGAGGCTTTTCTGTACGTCCTGAGAGAGAACCTTATGTTAACTTTGAGCAATAATGGGTAATTAACCCTTCTGAAGCCTCTGTCTCCTGAACTAAAGCGATTATTCGCTTACCAGTTCTCAAGGTTCCACACATTTAGCTGTAAATTCTAGGTTATAACATTACACCCTTTTCCTCAGTCCTTTTGTTCCTGAATACTTTTATTGGGTTTAGAAACGACAAAATATTAAGCCGAATTCATATGGCTTTCATACCTTGGTCAGCTTTATTAATCAATTAATTTGAACAATTTTCTACTGCAGTTTTTTTATCGCAAGTTTATTCCAGAATTTTGATTTCGATTTTATTTTATACGGTAGAGTCCCGCAAACTCGACAACGTTTTAGGAACTTTTTAAAGATCCTAAAACGTTCCTAAATGTAAAGATCCTAATCTCTAGGCCAAAGTAAGTATTGCATACAGTACATATAATTATTATTTACGCATACGACATGCTAAGACACGTCTTCATTCTAACGAAGACTAACTTATTTACAAAGAAACTGCCCAGCTATTCTTAATTATTCATCGCGACATCTCCTGAAGAGCTGTGGGAGGAGGACTGTACTCTCCGATTTCGCGCGAATAGGAAGAATTTTGAAAAAGCGCGGAAAGAGGTAGAAGTAATTCCCCACAGATCAATGGGCAAGAGTAGATTTTTGTTTCGGAAGCACAACAGTCTCTTAGTCCATATTATGCCGAGTTTGTTAGTATGCTCTACAGTACTAAATGCAGTCGAAACTTGTTAAGATGACTGAAGAGGGAAAACTTATAGAAAAGCAATAAGATGTCAGAAATAACTTAATAGCCATTAAGTTCTTTGAAAGAAACAATTCAAAATGTTTATGATAGTCGATAGGAAACTTTTTTAGCAACACTGTATTCTAGATTTGGGTAGAATTAATTTACCCTAAAAGAAGCTTCCTTAACATTATACATATAACTTATACCAGTTTTAGTAATGTTTGGGTTGTAAGACTAACAAGTCAGCAGAACTATGCTTACTGTAGTAGAACTTGTATGTAGTGATTGGATTGTTAACTAATCAAATAACCTAACCATAGTCCATTGCTTTCAAACAGGCACTTCAAGGTCATTTCTTGGCCCCAAATAATGACTCAAAACCATGGTAACGACGGCTGCAGAAAAAAGGTCGATTCCTCTAATTCACTCAAATGCTCTAACACCCTTATGCGGTGATGATAGCACACGTTACGGTCGTAAATGAGCGGAGGGCCGCTACGACCTTGAATTAGCTGTTTTAAAGTTACAGGCTAACTCATTACTGTATAGACTATATTTATTATATATCTTAGAAATAGCATAAAAATCGCCTTCCAATTACGACAGCACAGATCTTTCGCGTTAACCCCGCCAACGATCGCTCGTTAAGGCCTTATCCATCGTGTGCTTTTCTTAACCCAAATTATCTCTTTTTGAATCAGTTCTTTGAATAATTTCTGATGAGAACTGCCCATCTCTAGTTATAAAGTAACAATGGATTTGGAGAAATGAAACGGGTCTTCATTCTATCCACATTATTTTAACATTAAAACTGTTATATATAGAGAAAATCGTAATGCTTCTTAGAAAAGAACTTTTCTTTTCATTGCATTAAATTCGACCACCTGTGGTTCAGCGGTAAAATCGCTGAACACTGGTAGTTCCGTCCGAAGGTCGAATCCTGCGAAGGGACTGGTAGCATGGGCGTTTTCGTGATTTTCCCTATCTGTAATGTGTATACAAGCCAGTTTCTCTTAGAAAGTCTTCCACGAAGGTTGAAGTGAACAAAAATGCAGCAGGACATTACATTTATAATCCAGCCCTGTGTTTATCTAAAGTTGCTTTTAACCCAAAGGGCGTTAGCATAGAAGGACTATTAATTTCAAAACTGCATTTTGCGCCTATTAACTTATCAGACTGTTGCCACCAAATATTATTTCCAGAGGTATTAAGCAGTAAACGAGGCATATAATAAGCTGTTTCATGGGTAAGTGCTTTTGCTTTTATATTTTGCTTTCGAATGCAAATATTCACGAATAATTTTTAGAGTGCGGACTGATGGTACATCATTGTGCTAAATAATCAATGATGATAAGTAATTGTGCTTAATTACCACTAGTTATTGTACTTAGTAATCTGTTAGACAGTTTCTAAGAAGATTTTAAATAAATTTATTTTTCTCTAAATCTCACGAAACGCATCACAATCTACAAATATTACGAGACCATGTTTTTTTTTGCTTAGCTCCATAAATTATCAATGAATCAGTAAAAATAAAGGATTTAATAGTTTTAGTATATACGATATCCTAGTAAAATTATCAGTAATTAAAATGCATAAATCCTCCATGTAGTTAAAAAATTTCTAACAATAATTTCATGTACAGCATTTAAACCGTGCATCCAAAATAAATATACTCGTGAATTTTTATTAAATTATTTATTAAAATAGTTGGTTCTAGAAATGGGTTCTTAATTAATTAATTTTTATTAATATGAAAAAACTTGTAACCATTATAAATTATAAAAAAAATTTATTAAGAATTCGCTTTAATAATTTATTCTTAAATTAAAACATGCTAAGCACCTGAAAATTTAAAAAGAAATAAGTAACAACTGAAAATGTTTGTGCAATATAAATTATTTCACTTCTCATTTTTCAAGTGAATCAAAGTATAATTTTCATGACTTTAGACCCCAAATTTAAAAATTAAACATCGAAATTTTAAGTAGCTTCTAAAATTAATTTGAAAAACATATGTTAAGAAATAATTTAATCTTTTTATATATTAGAAACATCACTACGCAACATGTGCAGAAATTCTGTATAAAAAACATAAGTCTTACCTGCTAAAAAAATGTAGTTAAAAATAATGGTACGGTTTAAATTTGAATGTAATTTAAATTTAAAACCTATGTGAAAAATAACAGGTGCAGTCTGTAGTAGATGCTTCTTGAGAAGAGCAGATAATACCAGAAGGAGGTGATTTTCTCTTCTTATCAAAATTTTCGACAGAAAGACATTTGTTCTCAAATCTTTTCTTAATCAAGATACCGAGATTCGTTATTAAGCTGGCTGCAGTTTTTTCGTTACTGTTGCAACTATTTACCCTGGAAACATAATGATTACAATAACGGTGCATTAGAAAGTAATTTCGGTTTGCACAAATAGATAAAGTAATGTTCATTTTGCAATTCTTCTGTCAATTTAATAATTTATTTCTTCTGAGATTTGGCAGCTGACACTTTTAGGTTGCTATGGAAACAAATTCCGCACATTTTTATTTAGAACTGTTAGTTTAAGGTCAATTTTATCATGGGGTGAAAAAGAAATGTCAACATATTTTACTTTTATAAAGGTAAGAAGGCGACTGAGGCTCACAGGGAGATATATGGCGTTTATGGTGTTCATTGCTTAACAGAACGCACTTGTCACAATTGGTTGAAAAAGTTTCATTCTGGAGATTTTTCTCTTGAAGGTTGTAGAGTCAATAGGGTTTTTGATACTGGAGACGTGAAAATGTACAACGCCCTTGCCGGGATGCGAACGCCGGACCTAACGAATACCCCTTCGAGTGTGCTTCCGGTTTATTTTCCTTTGAGTCACCAGAGGACGTAAAAGGGAATCTGCCATGTTAAACCATATTGTTGCAATGACTAACCTTGCCAGTGTGGTTTAATTTACATTGGCCAAACTAAGACAGTCTTAAATTTAAAAGTCTTAAAATAAAGGAACATGAGGCATATGTTAGAAAAAAGGAAACACAGAAGTCTTTTGTTGACCAATATTGTTGGTCCGGAAACCACACTTTCAATTTTTCTGCTGCCAAAATTATTCAAAAACATCTTCCATTGGAAAACTGGATTTTCTAGAGGCATTTCACATTAAAAAAAATCTTTCTATTCTAGTTAACGATCCTAATTCCAATCCATCTTTGCCTTCGGCCATAATTAAAGAAATTATGTTTTAGTTCTGGTTTCATCAACAGATGGCGCTACTAGCTTATTTTCTGTCCAGGCTTTCTTATCTTATCCTATCTCGTTCATTTGCACTTTTGCAGCTGAGGATGGTGGTTCGGTAAAATCATTAAAACTGGTCCTGCGAAAATTTGAAAATATAACGCTGATTTTTGTTGTTTGACTTCCGAATTAGTATTTGTTCGGCGTGTTATTGTGTCTTAATTATAGAAGCTCCAAACAGGCTTATTTTTGCTTTCTTTTTTCCACGTGGTTTTCGTCGTCTTGCGTTTGTATGTGTTTCGGAGCCGAAAACGGCTTATTTTTCGCTTCCTTTTTCGAACGTGGTGTGGCCATCATTTTGTGATTGCATGGGTTTCTGTAAGTACTTTTTTGCAATTTTGAAGTTCTGTTTATGTTTCGCATATTATTGATGGATTGCAGACGTTACCTCCACAGGTTCCAGATCTCTTTGGATCTGCAGTTCTTTTTTCCGATGCTGGAAATAGAGCGTAAAAGTGAAGCAACAACCTGTGTTAGGTGTAGATTTTTAGCATAGAAACTCTATCGATTTCGAGGGCAAACAAAAGTCTTGTTCGCCCTTGAAACCGATAGAGTTTCTATGCTAAAAATCTACGCCTAACACAGGTTGTTGCTGTACTTTTATGATTTATTTGAGGCGTGTTTCTCTTCTGTCCTGGAGATAGGTTGAACGAACATTATTTATCTTTTGCTTGAGTTCTGCAACGCCAATACCATCAAATTTTAGCATGTTAACAATCTCCTCACACGCCTTCTGTCGGCGATTTTTATCTTTATATTCAGGTAGTGAAGTGTTCCGTAATACTTCAGAATATGCATATGCATTAAAAAATGCCATGGTTTGACTATCGCTTTATATCGGCATTTTCGACATGATGGAAAACACCGTCTCTGCGAACACTGCGCGGAGTTACTGCCAGGGTAGATTTTTAAACTGGTTTCAAATTGACTGTTGAGTCAGAGAAACGTAATCTCTGACTCATCTCCCCTATGTGTCTATTCGGCCGAAGTGAGGGTTTACATTTATCAGAGAAGTCTTAGGCTCTCTACCCCCCCGGGGGTCGACGTAGAGAACTCTGCGAAGCTACTGGCTAGGATCTGTACCTAGGCAGTCTCGGCCACGGGGGATAAAATTTATGAACTTGGTGGTTCTGAAGCCCCTGAGAAAGGTCACTTATTGGCCGGCCTCGGGGACTGGCATGTCCTGGACGGTGTGGAACCGTAGCCGGAGGGCTAGTTCCCCTCGGTTTGCTGGGTAACGGCCCACTGCGACGGGCTCGCCCATGCGACTGGCGGGAGCAACTTGACGGCCGGTGCTGCCTGGTGTCTTATCCAGGTGGTGCGCTACTCCCTTGGAAGGGTAATAGTGGAGATTGAATCTCCACGAAGTGCCCAAAGGAGGAGTGGACCCGTAGTGTGATTGGTTCACGAGGCGGGGAAGCCAAAATCTTGTTGTTATTGTTAGGCTCTCTACAAATCCCTCGGAGAAGTGTAAACTGGCCTTTACACTACAAAGACATGCGGAAAGGAGATCTTACATACCCCCCTTCCAAAGGGCAACTGGGGATAAGGGGACTCAATCCCCAAATCCTGAAGGTGACGAATTATCGTTCACCACCTTTTAGCTCGAGCTCCACTGTAGAGTCATTAGGTTTTTTTTAATGCTGGAGATGTGAAAAGTGTGCAGTGCCAGGATTTGAACTCTGGACCTCCCGAATACGCGTCGAGTGCGCTTCTAGTTACATCATGGAGCCACGCGGAAAGGAGGGAGAAAATGCGTTATAGGGTTAACAACGTTATAAGCGACTTTCTGAAGTTGATGATGACAAACTGCTGGCTTGTCGATCGAGAACGTCGGCTTTTCTTAATTCGCTTGCTTTTTGATTCGCTATGCTTGAATTGAGATCTAGATAAAGAACGATCTTGCTTCTTCGGAGAGCACGCTTTGGTTTACTTCTGGAACGAGAGCGTTTAGACCTGCTTCTTAAACGATTGCCCCTGATCTGACTTCTTAAACGCGAATATTAAAGAAATTTAAAGGAATGCAGCGCATTCTTACACTATTGAGTTAAACAGAAGATTGGAAGAAAAGTGATGTCGCGTATGTTGTTGCTGTACTGTCAATTTCCAGATATTCAGAGGCATTAATTTTCTTTATTATTTTCTCCCCTCCTTTATGGATTAAAATGCAGAAACTAAAATACGAAAAAGAAACCTCTTTAAGTTACACAACTTATATCTCACGAAGCTTTTGACCTGAAGAAAAATGTACTAATACCAATCACTCTCACTTTACTGTTCCAAATTGCTCTTTATTTCGAACGCTTCCAATTCTTACCGATGTTGCTATCAATGCTATTGCAAGTCCTTTCAAGGTATTTTCTTTTCTAGATGTGCTGCTGGCTTTTTGATGCATTTTCCCAAATTGGCAATAAAATTGCTGCATTAAAATTATGTGTCTCTTTTCTCACAGCTTAACTATGATTTTTGACAATGATCAGAAAGAGCATGAGAGATTGCAAATGTCCATGTTGAAACTGTCACTCTCGCTACATGTTCTTCCTCATTTTGGCTGTTGGTATAAACTTGGACCTGTATCTGAACTTTTGAACTCAAACGAAGAAGTTTCAAATTTAATATGTCATTCATCATTTCCCTCGCAAGCCCACAGTGATGCATAATTTTATTTCAAAATGTGTAGCCATATTACTGACTTACCTTCTATATAAGCAGGATTACACACATTTCGTATAAATTTCTGCTTAATAGTTTCGATTAAAAATGATCTAAAAAAGGTTCATACAAGATATATATTGGGGACTCAGTAAAACTTTAAGGCAGATTGGAAATGATGCAGTATTATGAGACATTTTCTCCCTCCTTCCAGCATGCTTTCGTGGTTTAACGGTAGCACACGGGAGATCCAAGTTCGAGTCCCGGTGAAGGCACTGCACATTTTTCACATCTCCTGTTTGAAAATTACCTAATGAATCTACAGTATATAATAACAATTATATTTAATTCACTTATTTCTATTTAACCATTTTGATTTAAAATTCTTTTCTGTATATATTATACCAGTTATAACAAAGAACATTCTGATAACTAAATATTATATTTTTTATATTTTAGTGCGTTTAAAAACTGTTTTTAAATTTTAGCTCTTTTAACTCTTATTTGTAGAGAGAAAAAAGCAATTATTTTGATTTATGAGTGTCCCAGTTAAGTCATTTCTAATATAGCAAGAAGGAAGGGATTATAAAATGGAAATGCGATCGATCACCTAACATTCCAGTGGACAAAAGTTAGAAGATATTCGAATTCTTAAACCTTTATTTCAATTGGTTTATGGAGAACAATACATATAGACTCAAGTGTGTCTGGTTTCCATGATTGCTTTATGAGGTTCCGCTGTTCATCAGTAAGAACAAACAACTGTTAATATTTGTTCAGACGGATACAATCTGTTTTAAAACTATTTGAAAAAGTCAAAATTGAAAGACTAGCCAACTCAACATAAACGTTTTGTAGGTTTCAAATTATTAAAATCATTATATTTTTATTTTTGACGCAAGTACTAAAAATAAATAAAATATGATTTATTTCAGAAAAAACGTGATATTAAAAATCCAATTCGTAACTTTTAGCAGAGTGAATAAAATTAAAATTGTACTAAAGCTGCAGATAAATTTCGTTTCGAGCAATGCTCATAATAAAAGACCTAAAATGAAAGATATTAGAAGTAATTCCGATGCATAATGGTTTAATATTTTATTTTTGTGGCAACGAAAATGCTTTTTGAAAGCAGAATTTTAAAAGAAAACAGATGTTTAGAGAAAACACTGAATGCGGTTTCATAAATTATATTTATTATACGAGCATATTAAAAAGGAATTCTACAAAAAATTTTATTTCTTCGGCAATCGGGAACGCATTTTAGAATCCCTCGTCACTTCTATCAAGCAAACTGTCATCGATGAGACGTTTCAGATCTTTGTCTTTCCTCTTCTCTGGAGTAACACATTTACCCTTGAGTACGTATGGACGAGGAATTTTCAGCATCCAGTCAATATGTGAATCACATTCCAGTGGGTTTTCTATGAATTAAATAAAGAAGAGATTTATATGATCAAGTCTAGAGAACTATATAATAATCACATACTACCGATAATCGGCAAGAAAATTTTTTACGAGTTATGCACACCCAAGAAGATAAGACATTTACTATTTCACCAAGTTTAAAATAAACTATAACCAGCAGTTATTACTCAGTCATCAGAAACTGTAAACAAGAATTTATTAATTTAGATATTTTTTAAATTCTTCCTATTAAATACATATCTCATGCCTGTACACATCGCATGCTATTGCACACACACACATACATGTAAGTTATAGGTATGTATGTAATAATATGCGATATGTGCAATTTTATTACATATACACACAAAATAGTGCACGGTTGCAGAAGATATTTCCAATTCGGTAAATGTTTTAAATGACTCATATATTTATGCTTTGTCATTTTTTACTTCCTTATACGAAGTTAAGGAAGTATTGTAATCGCGAAAACTTTCAGCTATCATATTTCAATGAAAATATTCATTTTGACCGCTAGCGAATACAATTTAACGATGTTTTTGCGTGATATTTGTACTTAAAAACAGAATAAAAGACTCTTTTTTCCGAAATGGGTTTCAAAAAGGATTTAAAATGGATTCATAAGAGACGTCCGTACTTACGCATGCACATATATATGTACGCATGTATTTCGCATAACTCAAAAACAAGTAGCCTCAGAACGTTGAAGTTTTGTATATAGGCCTGCTATAACATCTAGTTCGCACTTCCCTTTTTGGTTACAATCGGCCTTACCAAAGTACATATATATATGTGATGTATCAGCTTTAGTCGTAGCTTAAATAATCAGACGATAGTTTTAAAAAACAGGATCCATTTATTATAATTCAGGAGAAATAGCAGTTACAAAAATCAGAAATCCGGAGCAAATAAAAAGAATTACTAATAACTTTTTGTATGAAGTTTACTGCATCGTGACATTTAAGAAAAAGCCCGATATTCCTTTTGCGAGTCATTTTATAGCCTCTGGAAAGGCGGAGCTTCCAAGAAACGACGTCAGCCTCGTCAGCCAATCCAGTTCGCTTTAAATATCTCCAGAACATTCTAAAACTGTACGTGTAGAAAAGGCGGGAAAACAACTTGACTACGGGGCTGTGGATTTAATTCCACGTACTTTCAAATAAGAGAACGTCGCCATTAAAAATTAAAAGAACATACAGTTAGAATTTTAAGTGTATTCTTGACTATGGAATTTTATTATTACATATATATACACCTACTTTGTTACTCAGCTCCGTGAGCTAATTTCTTATATGTTGGTAAATTGTGCAATTTTTTCTTTAAGAATGATTTAATTATATGTTGTTCGTATTTTCCGGTTAAAGATTTTATACCTTTAATTAATCTGCCTGCAATAATTGTAGAATTATCAACAATTTAAAAGTTGTTTAAGTGAGGCTAAGCCTAATTTTTTTTTACCATAGCTGCCATATTTGTTTACATTTGAAACTTAGCAGAAAAGTTAATTAAGTCAGCTTCTGTACCTTCAGTATCTTTCTGGCGAGAGGGATTAAAGATAAACTTTCAGTTTTGTGCACCGAAAAATCTGCCTTCATACCCGCTGGCCGAATGGTTTTTTGCGTAGAAACTCTAATTTTAATTGTAAAAATTGTTTTAACTGTATTTGGTGTTTTATATTTTTGAATTTTCGATAAAGATATTTTGAGGTTTTATGTATTTTTGCCTTACCGCGAAGGGAGAACTAAATTAATTGAATGAGGACTATATCTCTAATGAAATTCGAGAAAACAAGTTTAAATGAAATGCATAAAAAATGCGAATAATTCGTGCAATGAAGTCATGTGGTGTACACATTTTAATTAAAAAAATCAATGTGTAAATTCGAATTTAACTTCTTATATGTTCCTCCCTTTCCTATAATCATAGCTGGAAAAATTTTGCACTGGGAATAAAAATAAAACTCGAAAATACGACCAGCATACGATAAAATTTGAACAATATATTTAGTATTAAAGTCAGAGATTATATTTAGGACCCATGCATGAATTGGAGAGCGAAAGGTTTGCATATGTTACGTACACTTTGCGTACGTAACTTAAAATAAAAAATCAGTTTAGAGAAAGGTTTCTGATGATAACAGATTAAGTAACTAGCGTTTCTATGAAGATTATTGCTAAAAGTATTCAATAATAAAAGGTAAAGGTAAAAGTATGGGGGACACCAGCGATGTACCATAGGTCAACTGGTAATGTCTTCCCATACTAACTCTTTGGAAAAAAAAGAGGGGGGTGTAATTGCAAGTTTTATAAGAATTTGCATAGACTGAAGCTTTTCAAAAGGTCTAGAGTTTGCCTATTATGGTACATCGTGCAATTGCACACTACGCCCCGCATCCAGTATTTATTAAAAATAATGGTGGCCATAGGTAGATTACAAATTAGTCGGAATACAATTTGAGATTCACAAGATAAATGGAACATCTGATTTGGTGCAACGAAAATAGGAGATAAACATAAAACATAATTAATAAACAAATAAACATAATTAGATAATTATAATTAGTACTGGCAACACAATGTTAAAATGAATTGTTATAATAATGCTAAAGAGTTGGGTGTCCATGAGTTATTTCAAATATATTGGTTTATTGCAGTTTATAAAGTTCACGAGCGGAGCCATTTTGTCCATAACCACAGCATGTAAAAGTTCACTAAGTTTAAACTGTACGTGGACTTACACTTGACAGTGATCTAGGCCGTAGGAAGAGAGTCGTTGCATAATTTTCTGAAACTTTGGATACTGATGTTAATCTTTAATTAAAAACCTTTGGAATGCCAGGAGGTCAGTTCTTGGGCATTTTGTGTAAATATCCTCAGTTAAGGGGCATGAGAAAGTGTATTGATTAGGAGTTCCCTGTTCCCCACATATACAGATATCAGAATTTGCCAAATTTCTTGCGTAGAAATATGTGGGGAAGGGTCCATGTCCTATTATAAAGTAATTTAGTGAAGGATTCGAGTTCAGAGATGCGAAGCTTACATTGGGGATCAAGTTATATGTGCGTCTTCCCTGTGGAGCATTGTTCCACAAATCTTGCCAAGATTTTGAAGCAAGCTGTTTCAGTTGGTACTCGAAATTCGAGCGAGGCCACGGAATGATGATTTCAGTACCATCTTGATTAATAGCTGCTTCTTTGGCTAGTTCATCTGCCTGATCATTACCATATTGGCCATTATGTCCTTTGATCCATGAAATTTGAATTTTGTAGTTTGGAATTTTGCCAAGAAGAGAATTTATGTAGGATATCAATGGAGGGGAAGGTAAGGGATTTTTTAATAGCTAGAATAGCTGCTTGGGAGTCAGATTTTATGCTAAACTCAGTTGAGAATTTTGAGAATGGTTATTTCAATCGCTGCTTTTATAGCTGACAATTCCGCTAGGAAAACACTATTATTATTATAAAGATGACCTTTCCATTTGATGATATTTGAGGGGTAATTTGAAAAAAGACTTCGGAACCAACTTTTCCTTCAATTTTTGATCCATCAGTATAAGCAATTGGAGATGAACTTGAATTTTCTTCAGACGTGGGGAATATTATTGTTGAATTCTGCGGCTTGGTTAAGTTGAAGGACTTTCATATAGGTGCATTCCATTTCTGCACTGATTGATAACGGAAGAGTACCAGCTAAAGTATCAAGTGCTATATTTGAAGTTGTGCGATACGCCCGAGTAATGCAAAGAGTAAAAGGCCTTTAAATTGAATTTAAACATTTTATATTTCTCACTGTCATTGGTTGTGCCCAAATTCCGGCTCCGTAATTTACCATTTTTGTGATGACTGTTTTAGAAGAATACGTGTTATATGGGGATTTAAGCCCCAGTTATATCCATGCATACGTCGAAGGCAGTTAGTTATTGATGTTGTACGAAGTTTAATATTTTGTAGATGAGGAATCCAGGAGAATTTCTTGTCGATTGTTAAACCGAGGTACTTGATTGTATTCACAGATTTGATCTTTTGATTGTCAATTTTTAGAGCTAAAGCTTTAGTTATATTTTGTCCTGGTTTATGGATCACTAAGACTTGGGACTATATGAAATTTGTAGTTTTTGAATTTTGCAAAGTTGGTTAAATAACTGGAGTGTTTCGTTGCAATTATTCTGTAAAATGTCTCTGGCACGGCCACTTGTAATAAAAGCTACATCATCTGCAAAAGCTACAATTTTTTGAGTGATTTGGCCATGGATAGGCAATGATGTTGTTGAAGCTGATATTCTAGAGATCTGCACTCATGCAAGACCCCTGAGGACATCCTCGGATTTGATTACGCACAATTTCAGTGCTGTGGTAAAGAATCACATTTTTCCTGTTTCTGAAGTAATCTTGAATAATTAGAAAAAAATTTTGAGGGCACTTAAAGGAACGCAGCGCTTGTAAAACTGCTGGCCACCATAAAGAATCAAAAGCTGATTTTAGAAAAGTATTTTGAAAAGGGAGATCTTATTCACATATGTTCTAGGAAAAACTGGCAAATTTCAATATTGGCACATAACCCAACACCATAGCCCACCAGCGGCCGAGCAGTAAAATCCGCTGAACACTATGTTCAGCCACTATGTCCTTTGATCCATGAAATTTGAACTAACTAGCAGAAGTGAACTAATTAGCAGATCTAGATGAACTAACTGAACATTTAACTAACAGATCCGATCTTAGCGGGGGCGGCCAATTTTAATTTGCACGAGGGCGGCCGACGGTCTAAGATGGGCACTGTTTAGTATACCATTTGATTCATATTCATTAATTATAGTTATTAAAATATAACGCTCGTGATTTATATGGTTGTTGTAAATCAATGCAAAATCTAGAAAGTTTCATTAATGCTTCATTTTTGGTATTAATAATCAGCTTAATTTAAGTTAATTTCTGAAGAAAGCTTTCAGTATTTTGCTTATGAGCTAAATGCCAAAACAGAGAGATTTTGTGAACAAATTCGTATGAACGCATAGGTCAAATCATGAAAACGCCTTGGCAGTTCACTCACTGATAGATAAAATCTGTCTAGAGCTTTTTGCTTATCGCAAATTATATGTACCTCTGATACATACAAGTACTGCGTAGAAGTTAACTTTTCCGAGTCCAGTGTATCTCTTGTAATGTAACGAGCAATAATGAAATACGAGTAAAAACCTGAAATTACAAATTAAATCACCCTTTTTTTAAAAAAAATTGTTATCCTTTTCTCGCGTCCTAAGATTCTGTGGTTAGAATTCTTAATTCTAACGTTCTTGTTGAAAGATAAAATATTAAAGATTAAAAATTAAATTGGAAATTAAATTTAAGTAATACTAATGTGTAAGGTATTTCTCCCGCCTTCTTAGGAAGCCTTCGTGGTGTGGTGGTCGTATTTCAGAGGTCCGTGGTTCGATTCCCGGCGAGGGCGCTGCTCATTTTTCATTACCTTTGCTTCCAAAAATACTTAATGTCTCTACAGTGACGCCTGAACTAAAAGGGTGGTGGATGATGATTCTCCACATCCAGGATTTGGCAACTGCGTTCCCTAAAATCCCAGTCACCCTTTAAAAGGGGGAATATATAAGGTATTTCTCCCGCCTTCTTAGCATGCCTTCGTAGTGTGGTGGTCTGCACGCTTGGCGAGTATTCCAGAGGTCCGTGGTTCGATTCCCGGCGAAGGCGTTGGTCATTTTTTACATCTTCTGCTTCCAAAAAAAACCTAATATCTCTACAAAATCATAAATATCTATAAGAAAAGAAAATTAACATAATGTTAAAAGTGTGACACATTAAAACATGTATGATGAAGTTGAATGTAAGAGCCTCACTGTAATAGCAGAATTAAATACATTGAATTGATAAAAATATTAAATCATTCAGTTATTCAATTATTAATTACTATTTAATTGACTAACAACTGGAGTAGAGCATTCATATTCAGATATTTCATATTTCACAGATATGCATTACTCTTAAAAATATAATGAATTACTTTCAAGGTAGAGTCGAGTAATTTGTCGCCACACAGGCAACCAAGTGGCTTCCGCAAGCCTTTGAATGGAATTTTCTGCTAGAACTACTTCTTTCAATGCCGGCATTCTGGAAAACATGTCCTCAGGAAGAGTTGAAATTTGATTATTTCTGGAAAAAAAAAAATAAATAAAAAAAAATAAAAGACTCAAAATAAATTACACGATACTATCTTACTAACACAAATAAATTAATATAATAGACATGCAGATTTTAAATGTATAAGAAATATTCCTTTAATTTTAGAGGTATGCATTTGAGGAAGAGTTACTAATTTAAATTGCGTTGTGTCTTAATGTTAAAACACATTCTATTTTATTGGACTCTGAGGAAAAACTATAACACTTCACACAATAGCATACCAAAAAAGTTTTAGCTATATTGAAAACGTTAGATGCTAAAACAATTATACTGAAAGCTGTTAATAAAATAAACAAATTTTTATCATTGCATGAAACCCTTATGCGATATGCTTAAGCGTTATATATTAAAATTCATAATGCGTTTTATATTAAAACTCATAATTATGCGCTATGGTAGATGTATTTCTTGCAGGACAATGAAAACGTGCTAAAACTGAAATCATGGGTAGAAAATTCATGTATCAGGTTTGACCTTAATACTAACAAACTTAAAACTAGAATTCAATACAGGAGACTTTTATATCGAATTTTATCTGGTATTAAGTTCGTTTCTAGTATGAAAAAAATTTGTGAGAATCAAAGAAACTCAGGAAAATAAGAAAAAGATAAGCTTTATTGTATATATTTATAATTTCTACAAAATAGTAATTTCAAATGTCTGAAATCATTATAAAAATATAACCAAAACAAGTGTTTTACATATATTAGCAACTTTGATTCCAGAATTCTTTTAAGAAACGGTATTCGCAATTCTAATATAAAGGTATGCGTATTAAACCATCCAGGGTTTCATTTCTAACATTAGAAGTGTCGGAGCCCTACGGAAGGAAGCTCGTCAGCAAAGAGGAACAAGAATAAATAAATAAATAACATGACTATTAAACTCATTAATAATTTTAAAATTAAATGGTTAATTATTATCAAATTAATTAATAGTTATTTAATGTTTATAAATTGTTATTTAATCAATAATTATTATATAATTAATTAATTAATAATTTAATTGATAATTATTATTTATTGAAATAATTCAATAATTAAAGATTAAAGTAATTAAATAATTAAAATTAAATTAAATGTAAACAGATAAATTAAATTTAATAGGCGTTTTTTAATATAATTTTATTGCTAAAAATAAAATTTTCGAGATAAAATTTCTACTGAAATCGTTATTCCGTTACATAAAAGAAGTGCATTTAGGCATTTAGGAAGTGCTTCTTATTAGGGCTTCGGCTAGAATTATGATTTATTACAAAACTAAGAAGCACCGGAGCAGGCCCAATTTCAGCTCTGATCGTAGGGGGGAGGGGAGTTCTTTTATCATCACAAAAATTAAATATACTTAAAGTATAGCTAATGAAAATTAAGATAATGCTAAAAACAGAGCGAAACAGAATGAGGGCGTGGGGTTATGAGTGGGTGGAAACATAAAATGAGGGGAATCTTGGTGAAAGAGAACGTTCTATTTGACCGCGGCTCTCTGCTGATAGAATTATAGCCATCAAGCAGATGTCTGTCAGGAGTAAAACGAGTCCTGAATCTGACTCCTAAGGATGAATATAAAGTTGCTGGTTACGCTTTTCACCCCCCCCGTAGTTAGTTACATTAGTGGATACTGTGGGAAGACGATGTATAGGACGTGCTTGAGCAGTTTATCTCAGTATTTCACTCTTATTGTACTTTCTGTCACTTAACGCCATATTTAATAACACAAATTTTCCTTCCTGAGAAGATAACTAATTGTAACCATCGATAACAATACACTAGATACAATGGCATGGCGAAACATTTACACGTTCCTAAACAACTCACCCAAATTTATTGCCTTTCTTAAAGAGAAACGTTTCTGCATGTGAGTGACGGGACTTCACTTGAACGTCTCATGTTCTTATGAGTACGTATTTCTAGGGAAATAGAGTATTGCAAGGTCTGCTTATTGTTAAAATAAAACGTTAGGAATTCTAAATTCTTTTCCCTTGAAATTGTGGCTCAGTTTTATAAAAAAAAGTACCGGAGCTCATCTTCTTTAGGGCTCTGGTGCGCTCCGGCTAGAAATGTAATTTATCTTAAAAATTGAGAAGTACCGGAACAGGGCTCGGTGGGCTACGGCGCAATTTAAGCACTGGATGCTGAGATGATGGTTCTGCATATAATATAATTGTATAGAGAGAGATGAGACAGTAATAGCATACAGAATTTTAGAGCAAATCAGTCTTAGCAAATGCTAATGCACCGCTCCTTTTTTACTTCCTTGTACTAATTAAACGAAGTATTGTAATTGGTTAATTGGTAATAAATATTTCCGGTATCATATTTAAAATACAATATCCATTTTGATGACTCTGGAATCCATTTGAACGATGCTTTTTGCCTGACATCTGTGCGTAGATGTAAAATGGGTTTAAAATGGATTCAGAAGAGAATTTTTTCGTGACGTCTGTACGTACATACACATACGAACGTATGTACGTATGTATCCGGCATAACTCAAAAACCAGTAGCCGCAGAACGTTGAAATTTTGTATATGGGACAGCTATAACTCGCAGTTGTTCACCTCTCTTTTTGGTTGCAATCGGACCACCAAAAGTATATAAATATATATATATACTCGTATATATATATACCCACTCTGTTACCCGGCTCGGTGAGCTTAGTTTTTTATTCTTTATATGTTGGTAAATTGTATATTTTTTGCTTTAATTGATTTATGATTTTCTTACGTTTCGATTCATGTTTTTATGCCTTTAGTTAATCTGCATGCAATAGTTGAAGAATTATAAAACATTTAGAAGTTGTTAAAGTTATACTAAGCCTAACGAAGGCGCCATTTGTTTACATGTGAAACTCTTAGCAGAATAGTGAATTAAGTGCCAAATTCAGTGTCTTTTTGCCTAATGGGACCAAAACTGAACTTTCTGTTTTGTCCACCGAAAAATTTGTCTTTCTGCCCGCTGTCCGAATTGCTTATTTTTGCTTAGAAAATCTAATTTAAACTGCTGCTAAGATGATGGATTAAGTTTTTGTGTATTTTTGCCTTTCCGCAAAGTGGGAACTGAATTGATTGAATGAGAAATATGTTAAAAATAATATGTATAAATGAAAATATATAAATGAAAAATATATATTTAATAAATGAAATATATTTATATAACTATTATATAAATGAAATTTGACGAAATGAGTTTAAATGAAATGCAGCAAAAAATATGTATAATTTAATATGCCGTACATAGAAGTCATATGGTGTCGGCGTCAAATTGTTTATTGTCGATCATATAAAATTAAAGAAAATAAAAGTAATTTGAAACCGACTGAACCATCAGCAATGATATCAATTACCTCATTTCGTCTGTTTAAAGAGATATTCGTAGAACACATAAATGAATAATACTGTTAAAAATGCATATTCATTTAATATAACAATTTGGTCTCCTGTTTCGTGGAACAATTATTAGTTTAAGAATTTATGGAAATTGTAACTGTGCTATTAAGAAACAAAATTTAACAGTTAAAATCTGGCTACAACTTATCAAAATTCAAAAGTAGAAACCGTGTTTTATTAAGGCAAAAATAAATATAGTTTAGTTAAATTCGTAAATCAGTACGAAAGAAAGCAAATCAAGTTACAAAGTTTATTAAATTCACTGAACACTATCGGACAAATACAAACCAAAATACGGCACTGTTGTTATTTGTTGAACACGCTAAAAAGTATTAAAAAATTTGGCTTTATTAAAATTGACTATGCAAATGAAAACTTACGGCTTAAGTTAAAAATATAAATTTTAAACATTAAAGAATTTTTCATGTAATTGTCTTGAAACACGTAATTATGTTTATTACTTTCCTCTTCGCCGCCCAGACGATATAGTGGTTAGAGAGAGCGTACTGCGATACAGAAAGGCCCGGATTTAAATATCGGAGAAGGTATGTAATGTTTGCATGGATGCTTGTAATGGATATGTTATGTTTGCATGGATGTTTGTAAATATATAGTGTCTTTGTAACATGGGGGCACTCTAAATGTATGGCGGGTCAAGTCTTCTCGCATGGTTTGGTGTGAGACCTTCATCGACCACCCGTGTGGTGCTCTCTCGCAAAATTGAGGTGGAAAGTAGAAGTCCAACCTCTTTGAAGCTCTGTCAACCGTTCTAGAACCGGAAAAGGTATGGATGTTTGTACATATATATAGGGTGATTCAGAATTCATCATCAATATTTGGTGGGGTGGTAGGGAATAGGAAAAGAAAGAGACTTCACATAGGAAAGTATGGGCGCAGACGAACGCATGTTGCTGTAGAGGGCGCTGTGTGTACACAACTTCCATACATAAGCACAGGTGTTTGACGAGTGTAGCTAGTAGTCATTCGATTAGGTGACTTTGCAGAAGTAACATAAACCGGTATACGTGGAATGAGCTTGAATATATACATGTAAATGCTAGTATATTCCAGAACGTCTGGTTGTCCATGCAATGCCGTTGTGAGTCATGCATTCTAGCACATGGTCAGCAGTTCGAGCACCTCTTGTAAGTCTGTAAAACCGATGCAAAGAAATTTTAGATGTAGGATAATAAATGTCCTTATTACTTCCTTTTATGTGTTCTTTCCAGCATTGAACTGGGGTTATTTTGCCCTACTACATGGCATATGCGCCTATGCATTCCTATGTGAAATCTCCTTCTTTTCCTATTCCCTACCTCCCCACCAAATATTGATGATGAATTCTGAATCACCCTGTATAGTGTCTTTGTCACATGGGGCATTCTAAATGTATGGCAAGTCGAAAGTCCTCTCGCATGGTTTGATGGTAGAGAAGAGAGTTGGGAGACTTTCATCGACCATCCGCGGGGTGCTCATAATTGGGTGGAAAGTAGAAGTCCAACCTCCTTGAGGCTCTGACAACCATGAAGTACATGGACAAGACAGCAGCATCAACAACTCTCGTCAACTATAAACAACTGTAAATGAAATGCATTAAATTTAGGGCAATATTTGTAGCATTAAATACCTATACTTACGTGAGATCTAGTGACGCCAGATATAGTGCTGGTGTAGGAAACATACTTCTATGCACAGTCTTAAAACGATTGCCTGTCAGCCAAAGGTTTTTTAAATTGTACAAAGATGCGAATGCCTTATCCCCGAGCTCCTCGATAAAATTGGTCATGATGTAAAGATTCTTCACATTTTCTGGACCGTCTTTAAAAAATTCGTTGCCCATCTTTGTAAGACCATTTCCTTCGATTTCCAGATCTTCGAGAGCTCTCAGTTGAGAAACATTCAAATACTTAAGTTCATTTTCTTCCGAAAAGCTGAAGTGAATCGAGAGTTCCTGTAAATTTATAATAAGAAAGATAGCAACTTACTCAAATATATGAAATTCATACTACTCAACATAAACTAATTAGAGCGCTTTATACGGACTCCCAAAATGGTTAACACTGTTCTCTGGGAGGGCAGTTTTATTAATGGAAAATTCTTCTGGAGTCAACTGGAAATGGTTAGCGTAGAATTATAATACTATAAATTTTGTATATATGTAAGTATTTTTAGTGAAGTTATGTTTAAGACTGTAGTATATTCCGTATAATGTAGCACAAAAGGGCGGCTGAAGAGGATGAAGCTTTGCCGGAAAGATTACAAGGGTAAGTTTATTTAACACTTGGCAAATGGATATCTTGATAAATTGGCAAGATATCGCCAAGATGGCGACGGTTTTGGCGAGTAATTTTTGTTGCCGATTTTGGGGAGAAATCGCCAAAAGCTGCCAAATCTGAAAACCATTTGGCGACATTTTGGTCAAGTCCCTGTATAATTGAAAAACTGTAATTGATACCTATATGTAACTGCAATCATATGCCGTCCGGTAATTTCGAAAAGTACGGGTTCGTAATAGATTGAATGCTTACAGAACAAATGATAGCTTGATAACATTTGTTTTACCAAAAGAAACAACAAAAAATGTTTGTTGGAATTTTCACAAAAATTCTCTTATATTATTCTCAGTATCACCGAGTACAATTAGTAGTTACTCTTCAAACTACTAAGAAAGTTACACTCAGCGCAAAGCAAGGCGCATCTAAAAGGCGAAACTCGCAAAACTCCGAAGTCAACTCTGAAATAAATCTGAAAAACTGATACCTTCTCCAGTCTTATATAGTTTTCTACCGTCCGCCGAGAAATCTTTAGTACTCGAAATTATTGGAACGCCGTTACAGTTACATATAGAGATCAATTACAGTTATACAATTATAATACTACTTATAGTTATACAGGGATTGGACCAAAGTGTCGCCAAATGGTCGCCAATGTTTCTTTTTATATTACACAAAAGATACTACAATTTTAAACGTAACCTCATTAAAATTATTTACATACACACACTGACCAATGAATTAGAAACCTTTGAGATTTTCATTTGAATGCGTGCTAGGGATGAAGTATGCAAAATTTTTTATGACGTAGGTTACACGTGGTTAGAATGATAAGTAAGGTGTAAGAGTGAAGTAAAATGGGAAAAATGCCAGATCTTTCACCATTTGCAAAAGGGCTTATTGTTGGTGTCCAGAAGCACGGCGCCAGTTTGAAGAGTTTCAAGATGGCCGCTACACAAAATCAAAAAAAGAAATCAAACAATTGCACAAACTCGGTGTCCATGCACACATCGATCTACTAAAAAAAAAACAAGAAAATGATAACGTCATATAAGGTTAAAAGAAAGTTAAGGTAACTAAATAAATAAAGGTGACGGTAATGGAAGCTAAAACTAAGTTAAAACTATCGTGGTAACCAGAAATGGGTTTTCATCGCCAAAATTGAACAAAATTTGTCTACAATCGAAAGGGCACCCAATTCTACACTAGAGCCATGCAATTTAATGCTCGTCTTTGATAACACATTTCGATTGCAGCGCCACTAATTTGCATACTGCAGTTTTACTCAGCAATTCTTATTTGGCAACCTATTCAAATTTTATACGGATTGGCTAATTTTTAACGAGTTATCGCTATTTTTGTGATTTTTCCTTAATTTTTGGAAACCAGTGTATTAATAAAAGAAAAACAAAATACAGAGGTGGTTAATCTTCGGATTATGGTAACTTGGCAATTTTTTGGGGAACATTTGGCGACCAACCCTGCTTCAGCAACCTGCTAGTTTTTTTTTCGGGGGGGGGGACGCCATTTTGTTTTCACGAAGTAAAGGCATTTTTTTTTTTTTTTTACTCAACATTTGTTTCTAACAATCTGCTAGCCGAATTTCGCTTATGCTAGAACTTTTATGGAACAAAAGTGCTTAATCATGACGAAGATTAGGCGCGATATTGGGAGAAAGTGCAGAATCGCCCACTGCTTGCCGCGTTTTTAAGAACTGCACATACACAGTATCATCCATGTACACGTCGACCTATTTTCACTTAAAAAAACATCCCAGAATTGCACAAAAATGGCATTGCGCACACTCTTGATTTTATCCATGTACACTGCTAAAGTCCTAGCTAGTAATCTTTATCGCCTTACCAAAATGTCGTCAAATTACCTGTTAGCATATTCCAAAGATTACCCACAGATTTCAGTATTTCTTAGGCTGATTTGCATTTGAATTAAACATGCAAAATAAGCGAATACAGAAATTAAATCGATAAGAAATACGTTTTCTAATTATTGACTTAAATTTATTTCTTACCTCTATGATATCCTCCAAACCTTCCAAGGCAGATCTACCTTCATCGCCAAAAGCCTTCAGCTCACAGTTAGTGAAAGATAGTTTCGTAACATGAAGACCTTTAAACAAATCGGAAGGTATTTTGTCGAGGCGAGCCCGTAGGAAATCTATGAATACTCTCTTTATACCCTTTACGCTTTGGAGAGCTGTTCTGACTTCTTCCACGGATGTTACTTGCATGCAGTCCACTCGAATGGCTTTTCCATCGCTCACGCAATAACACGGTTGCAAATCTTCAACGGGAGGGCATAGGTTTGTAAAGGAATGGACCAGATATGCACCCTGAAGAAGAAGTATGAAAAGACCCAGTGGCGACATGCTGACTCTGAAAGCAAGATTGTGTATGGAAGTAACATAATTTAATTAAAATATTACTAATGAAATTTTAATCAATACCACACATAAATATTAAAAAAAAATTGAAAGGGTTCAAATTTTAACGGTTGCCCAAAAGGGTTTGTTAGGGTTTTTCTAAGCTCTCACTGAGACTCCTGCTAACCTTTTTTTTTTTTTTTTTGTTTTTTTTAGCTTTATTATTACGCATCATTTTCTCTTCACTTAAAGGGACGGAGGACTTTAAAAATTAGTTTTTTTATGTTTGTGTGTTTTCAACGAGAAATTTTATACATCTACGTATTATAACATCGGTTTATAAAATATGTGATCAAAATTTCAATTCATTATAAATCAAAAATTTTTTAAAACAAATATTTAATTATTTTAATTAAAGATTTAAAATGCTCCTTGCGCGCTAATTTTTAATACTTTTTCCTAATTTTTTCTTTAAGTTAGTTATAAAGACATGACAAGTTTTTGTGTATCCGTTATTGAATATGATGGATCAGGAATTTTTAAGAGGGATTTTTTTGAACTTAAACCCGGTTTTCGGAAAAATGTCACCTTTGTTAAACATTATCACAAGTTTAAACTCTTAATAACCTCATATCCAAAAATGCGTACTTAGATCTACTCTAACATACACTGACTACCAATAAATCACCTGTGTTAGAAAAGAAAAACTAACTTTATTCAAAATCAATAGTTGGTAGAGCCTCCACGAGAGGTAATTACAGCGTGGACCCTCCGGGGCATACTTTCCACAAGTCTTTGTATGACAGCTAGTGGTATTTTCTTCCACTCGGCTTGGAGAAGACATAGAAGTTCCTTCACCAATTTTGCACGGGTAGTGAGTGCACCCCTGAATTCGGCGATGCAACTCGCAACTCGTTCCAGAGGTTCTCGATAGGGTTCAGGTCTGGACTCTGGGCAGGCTAGTCCATTCGATGAACTCCATTGGCACCATACCAAGCCTTGGTTAACGTCGAAACATGACAACTGGCATTGTCGTCCTGAAAGTAACAGGTGTCCAACCCGTAAAACTGCCACAACGTAGGAAGCACATTGTGATCCAAAATAGTGCAGTAGGCATCGGAGTTGAGCTTACCATGAATGGGGACCAAGGGTCCCAGCCCATACCAGGAGAAACACCCCCAGACCATAATTCCACCTCCGCCGAACTTGACTGTTGGCACAATGCATTCTGGCAGGAGACGTTCTCCAGGTAGACGCCAAACCCAGACCCTGCCATCCGAACGGTAAAGGGTGAACCTTGATTCGTCACTCCAAAGAACCCGTTTCCACTGATCTACGGTCCAATTTCGATGTGCTTTGCACCACATTAACCGAGCAGCACGGTTGGACTTTGTGATCAAAGGCTTATGGGCAGCAGCACGACCATGAAAACCAAGCAGATGTGCTTCCTTACGGATGGTATTCATTGAAACAATACTCCCGGATGCCTGTTGAAACTCCTCGCGGATGAGGGCTATCGTTTGGGTGCGGTTCTTCCGAATTTCTCCGAACAGCACTTGTCGGTCTCTATGCCTCAGTTTCGTTGGTCTGCCGATTCGGAGCACATTCCGACAATCACCGCTCACCTTCCACTTCTTAATCACATAGGCCACTGTCGATATTGGGTACTTCAGATCGCTAGATATGTCCCTTAAGGACCGGCCACATTTGTGATACCCGATAATTATACCTTTCTCACCGGCGGAGTCCGTGGCGTACCTTGAGACGGCACATATCATCATTTGCATAGGTGTCCAAATACTTATTGGTAGTCAGTGTATAACAAGATAGTTTCTTTCGAATATCATTCATTTTTAACTAAAAATGAGACGCATGGTGCATTTTCAAGACATACGAACTGCGAAAAATTTTGTTTTAAGAAAACTGAATTTAAAGTTTTTCTTCAAACTTATTTTTAATACATGGTCATGAGAAACAGCAAATTAACTTTAAATATGAATATGTAGACACTAGATAACATTTTCGTATCATTTAACTATTTTAATCTCATAATATCAAATATGAGAAAAACAAACAGATCGCAAATTGGTATGGGATTCGAAGTTGGAGGTAGAAACAATTTATGCTTTATATATCCAATGAAACTTTTAAAATTCACTCGCATCATATGTTTTACCTTCATTTGTTACATTTACATTATCTTTTAATGCTTTTTATGCAATATTTTTTACCTTTCTTTAATGCAACATTTTTCACTATTTCTTTCTTTTTTTTTTTTTTTCCAAGCAGGTAAACTCCTCTTTATGCTTTGGTTCAAGCGACGTTGATCACGCTTATTGGCAACGAGTAGGGAAAACGAGTTTATTTCCTCCTGTTCTACACATTTAGCATTCACATAACCAATGTTAAATTCATTAATTGTTGTCAATACTTGACATTTTCAGCCTTTTATTTAGAAATAAACACTTCTTTTGGGCAAATATATAAATTATTACACCAATAAATAGCTGTTGAAATACATTGTTTACGTTTTCTCCAAAATTTAAAGGGTAAAGTTTACGTTGTTTACACAGTTGAAATACTTGTAACTTGTTTAAAAATTAAAATATTTGAACTCGGTTTTTTGCCTACGATGTAGTTTTGTATATGGAATATTACCAGAGTAAAAAAACAAATTCAATATTTTGGTTGATTTTTTAGCTATTTTAAAGTCTACCGTCTCCTTTAGCGACATACAATTACGCGATATGCAATTCAACAGCTAAATTACAAAAATTTTAAAAGCAGCACGCGTTTAGAATTCTCGATGCAGTGTTAAGTGTTGGCATAAATTTTTCAATTCCCCCCCCCCAGTTTTTTCCTCAGTTTATCATAGCAATGTAAAATTTTCTTAGAAAGATGTCTTGCAGAATTTGTCTTTTTATTGTTTAGGTTTTTGTGGGTTAAATTTATTAATTAAATATCATGTTCTTCGCATTTACCCCACATAAAATTCATGAGTAGCAAAATCACAATATATTGTTACGAAATGTACAGGCGCGGTGAGATAGCTTTTCCGCAAAGCAGTTTTAGGGTTGCCACATTTGGCGAGAAATCACCCATTTGGCGATATGCCATGGGCGGATGGAGAACCTTCTGGAACGAATTCTTACCGGTTTAGCCCAGAATGTTCTCGAACACAAGCCGAAAGCTATATAACCCTGTTGGTTCGCAGTCAGTTAGAGTGTGTGCCTCGTCTAGCGAGCTGATAGTTAGTATCAAGTTGATGGCTCGTCTAGCGAGTGAATCCCTGCGGAGTCGATCCGAGTTGACAGCCGGACAGAGAGTGCCGAGTGGGTTGTCGAGTTCACCGAAGGAGTCTCTTAGCGTATCGCGGTTATCTCTTAGCGTATCGCAGTGCATCGTCGAGAGAGCGTGTTGAGCTCCGGGAACGACTGAACCGAAGAGTCGGGAGCTGTGCTCTGCGTGTCGTCGAGTGTATCGCAAGTTGTAGCGTGGAGTTCCGAAAACGACCGAGCAGAGTCGGGAGCTGTACTCTGGTGCTTTGCAATGAAGCTGTTTCCACCGTCATAGCCTGATAACCTGAAGGCTGTGTCGCTGATCGTGTCAGCGTGTTTATGGTAGTTCATCGACGACTGTAAAGCCTGTTTTGGAGCTGTCCTGTCAATACTGGCAAATAAAGTGGGTTTCGATACTTCATCAAGTGTCGTCTTTATTCACTCCAAATCCACACAAAACCCCATACGAACGTGAAGGAAGAAAATAACGCAACAATATTTAAAACAGCATACCTTTAGAATTTCTGACATACATCCTCGCACGCTGAAGATAATAATGCTTTAATCCGTACAGTGTGTCCACTGCTCGCTTTCAGATAGTTGAGTTTGTTAAAAATTCTTTAAAGTTTGTTTTACGATATATGAAATATAAAATTCGGAATTCAAAGTTTGGGCTTCCAGGTGCGCATATTTGGGTGGAGTTGCGAATTTTTTAAATGCCTGAAGGAACTATGAATAAATCTGTGTTAAATGCTTATGTATACTGCATATATGTATTACATACAGTATTTAGGTTAACATTCTGCCCGCATATGAATTTTGATATTACGTTTTCGCCACTCTTGTAACATATGATTATTTTTTCAGTCTTAGTAGTTTTAAAAATTCTCATTAAAAAAAGCCTACAGGAAATAAAATTTACAAATTATGATTTTAACACCAATTCGGACATTCTTAATGCTTTTCCGTCATTTTTTTTCTTCTGAAAATTTTCTCTTTAATATAATAGCTACTTTGAAACAGCAAATAAACTGAAAGAACGAACAATTTCTTTATTTCCCATGTACAATACTTATTCATGCATAGAACGAAAAACGTGTCATATACAACTATAAAATAAGTTACATATGTGTAAGCAAGAGAAAACTTAGGACTACGCATTTTTAATTTTACCTCCACATGTCTTAAACTCTTAATGCCCCTTTGGCAGAAAAATAACAGAGTTTGCTTTTGTCCCTTTGAGGATATAATAAACATGGAAACACACTGGAATATTTCATTTCCAGCGATATCTCGAATACGAGTTTCATCATTTGATTGCACATTCATTGTAATAGTATTATGGCAGAAAAGCTAAGCATTTCGTCAATGTTGCACAACAGACTAGATGATATATATATATATTTGTAATAATAAAATTCCATAATCAAGAATACACTTAAAATTCTAAATGTATGTTCTTTTCATTTTTAATGGCGTTGGTCTCTTATTTGAAAGTACGTGGAATTAAATCCACAGCCCCGTAGTCAAGTTGTTTTTCCCGCCTTTTTCTACACGTCCAGTTATAGAATGTTCTGGAAATATTTAAAGCGAACTGGATTGGCTGACCTCATTTTCTTGGAAGCTCCGCCTTTCCAGAGGCTATAAAAGGACTCGCAAAGGAATATCGGGGGCTTTTTCTTAAATGTCACGATGCAGTAAACCTCATACAAAATGTTATTAGTAGATCTTTTTTATTTACTCCGGATATCTGATTTTGTAACTGCTATTTCTCCTGACCAATAATAAATGGATCCTGTTTTTTAAACTTATCGTCTGATAATTTAAGCTACGACTACATTTTTGATTCTTCAACAATCTATTTATTCCTGACAAAAGTTGGTACATCACACATATATATATATATATATATATCTATATATAATATATATAACATATTAATATCCTAAGAACGTGAGACCATTTTCTGAAAGTTTATAATGCTGTTAACCCGTAACAAAGATAACTTCTAATCTACAAAGTTAATAAATTGCAGCTCTATTTGACTAATGACTCGTAGAGATACAAAAAGCATAGTTTCGGGCCATCACATTTCTTTTTTGACTATTTATTTAGGTTATTTGATTAAGGCAAAGAAATTCGAGGGAGATGCCTTCGTTAAGGTTTGGTCTAGTTAATTAAGGCAAAGCACACTAAGGCTATCTGCCTAAAGAATAAGGATGCCTTCGTGGAGGAATTCCTAAAGGAAACGGGCTCGTATCCACGTCACACATGGGAAAAAACACTTCAAGTTCCAAATATCGTTGAAGCCGCGATTATTGTGCAATTTCGCGCCCGAATCAATTTGATGCCTAGAATGGCGTTTCATGTAGAGGAATGCATGACTATGGGTCCAGAAGATAGAGTCGGAGGTGCAGGTGGAGTGTGACCGGTTGTTACGTGAGTAGCAAAGACATCTGAGAGGTCAAGGCGTATCCAAAGCAAAGGATTTAGTAAAGCCCATCAAAAAGTGGTCTTATTTAATCATAAATACAATTCGTTGGTCACATGATTAGCGTCCATAGAACTGAAAATCTCTTCAATAATTCATGGGCAAAACACTCTTTCAGGAAGGACTTTTTAAGTGAAACTGGCTCGTGGCCACGTTACACATGGGAAAAAAGAAGGAAAACTTCACCGGAGATCCGATTCGAACCGCTAGTGGGTCCTCTTATTGAGGATACTGGAGTTGAGAGCCAAAGAAACTTTGATTAGTACTGCTCTAAAAGACCAGATCATTAGGATTTAGATTCATAAACACCTATTAAATGTACCATGGGTTAACGTTACCGCAGTATACAAAAGGAGTGAGATACAAAAGGGAAGATACTGTAAAGAATGAATGCCAAGTCATTGGTAGAATGTTTTGTTCTCAGATGAAATAAGGATTGAGTCTGATGATGCAGAATTATAGCACTTAAAAAACCATCAATCCGAAAGTTCTCTCGAGAAGATTGTGGTGGAGGAATAGAAGTAACAAATTCTCACGTTTCCCACCTCAATAGACAAAGTCTTTGGGCAGAGCCGTAACTAAAGCTTTCAGTGCCCGAGAAGAATTGAAGATTTTGTCCTCTTTTCTGTATGCTAAGAATGGAAAATATTTCATTATAAAATTTCGTAACATCAGTTTGGTGCCCCCTGGATGCTGCACCCGAGGACAGATGGTGCCGCACCCTAGCTATGCCACTGTCTAGGAGGACATCCGCAGCCTTAACAGTAGAATTACCGACAATGCCAATCACAGCATTGAAAATGCAATAATAAATGCATATTCCGTGTCCTAAATCTTAAAATTTCGTACCTTAGCGTTCAGGTATTTTATACCTAATTTGGAACTCAGGACTCACTAAATTTTAATGAAAGAGGGAGACTTAAATTCGAATTTTCTAAAAATCCGCTCATCAGTTCAAACAATAAGATTTGTAATCTCTCATATCTAATTAAATTTCAGTCTCATAAATGAATTCAAAAGAAAATGATTTGTGGATTAAAAATAAAATTGCATAATTTACATAAAATAAAATTGCATAATTTACAGAAAATTGTCAAAGGCATGGGAATTAAAACATACCTGTTGTTCCTCTATCAAGAAATAACTGAATGAAGTTCGAACAGACAGCTTAATCCTATCATAAAGATTTCACGCTCTTTTTCTACAGATGTCGAATTCTCAAGACTAATGATATGATTTAAACCAGATTCTCCTAACACAAGAAACTGATGGATATTTGTCTGTTTGCTTATTTATGGCAAAAAAATAGTATACAAAAAAAAAAATAATAAAAAAAAATCTGAAATGTTTCAGATTTTAAATTACGTCCAAAGGGCGTTTTTTTTTAACATTTTGTATGTTACCTTTCTTTATTAAATATCATGTTCCTCGCACTTAAACCATAAGATCCAGTGCAACAGCAATATCGCAAAATAGTTTTAAAACGAGCATATCTTTAGAATTTCCGATACAGAGACTCACGCGCTGGAGAAAAAATGTTTTTCTGCATTGCCATTGCTTTTGAAATTTGAAATCAAAAATTCGTCAAAGTTTTAAAAAATAGGAAATCGATCATAAAACAAATTTCAAATTTCAAATTTGGTCTTCCACATGCTCATATTCGTTGGAGGATTACGTTATTCAAAATTCGATGACTCTATGTACCGTTATTTTATGACAATGCGAGAAATATACATACATTTACGCAGATTTTCATTATTTAATTTCTTCAAATATAATGCAGGACTCTAACATTTTGTGGCAACAGTTTGAAAAGTGAACCGACATTTATGAGTCCGACGCAAAATGCCAAAACGAAACTAATAGTCCTTCGGGATTCAAATCCCTTTGGACTAAAAAAAAAAAAAAAAAAAAAAAAAAAAAAAAAAAAAAAAAAATCTGAAATGTTTCAGATTTTAAATTACGTCCAAAGGGGCGTTTTTTAACATTTTGTATGTTACCTTTCTTTATTAAATATCATGTTCCTCGCACTTAAACCATAAGATCCAGTGCAACAGCAATATCGCAAAATAGTTTTAAAACGAGCATATCTTTAGAATTTCCGATACAGAGACTCACGCGCTGGAGATAAAAATGTTTTTTCTGCACAACGTTGCCATTGCTCGCTTTGAAATCCTTGAGTTTGTTAATCAAAAATTCGTCAAAGTTTTAAAAAATAGGAAATCGATCATAATAAAACAAATTTCAAATTTGGTCTTCCACATGCTCATATTCGTTGGGAGGATTACGTTATTCAAAATTCGATGACTCTATGTACCGTTATTTTTATGACAATGCGAGAAATATACATACATTTACGCAGATTTTCATTATTTAATTTCTTCAAATATAATGCAGGACTCTAACATTTTATGGCAACAGTTTGAAAAGTGAACCGACATTTATGAGTCCGACGCAAAATGCAAAAACGAAACTAATAGTCCTTCGGGATTCAAATCCCTTTGGACTAAAAAGAAAAAAGAAATATGATTGACAATCCCCCGATAAATAATATTCCAACTAAAGTTAAAATTGTTTATTATAGAGGGAATCTTCACGAAGCTTAGTCTAATCAGCAGTGTCGAATCAATTTATTGTATCATCGGATAGTAGTATGAAAGAGGTACATCTTGAAACAACAACAACAAAAATATTCTGAAAGCTTTTTAGATTTTATATTACACCTAAAAAGACGGTTTTTTAATCTTTTGTGTGTTACCTTAATTTATCCAATATCTTGTTCTTCGCACCTAAACCACATAAAATTCAATTCAACAGCAATCTCATAAAATATTTAAAAACAGCATTTAGAATTTTCGGAACATTAGAATTTCCGGAACACAGTCTGCGCGCTGGAGATATCCCCTCCCCGCCGAGCAATGTTGCCATTGCTTGCTTTGAAATCGTTGAGTTTGTTATCAAAAATTCGTTAAAGTTTTACAAAATTTGAAATAGATAATTAAAAAAATTCGAAATTCAAAATTCGGCTTCCTATATTCGGTTGGAGGACTACGTTATTCAAAATTTGATGGCTCTAGGTACCGTTGTTTTTTCATTCATGCAGACTCTTGATTATTTAATTTCTTTAAATATAATCATGGCGGTAATATTTGGTGGCAACAGTTTGAAAAGCCAATCAACGCAGAAAGTGAAATGATGCAAAATGCCGTTTTGAAACTAATAGCCCTTTGGGATAAAAAAAAGGTTGACTTCTATATCTCCCGTTCTATTGGGCTGATTGACGAAATACAACTTACATTTTTCATGTCCGGAATGCGAAACTTAGGATGTATACTACAGTACAAAGTCTCTAATCCGGACGTCCATTATCCGGAATGATCTATAATCCGGACCTCAAAGCAACAAACCTACGCATGCGCGTTTGATGCGCGCGTCCGCTACGCATGCGCATAAAGCCAGTAAAGCGTTTACCCATACCTTCCGATAGTGAAGAAAGTAAGAGAGAACGTTATTGAAAATGAAAAAATTTCGATTGACAAGTTAGTCGGTATTCTCGACACAGCAATTACAGGAATTGAACAGTGGAACTTTGTAACTGAACAAGAAATTATGTCTGTTTATAGAATTAAAGAGAAAGTATTAGCACAGAAAACGAAGATACTTAAACAACTTACATTGATAGAAGTGTTTACTAAAGTAAACAAATAAATATTAAGCTTTTTTTTTTTGTAAATTTTGATACAGTTTAGATCATAATTGCTCTTTATTTCATAAATTACGGTTTCATATTTTTAATTGTATAATTTCTGCATGGCTTCTTAACAGATTTAAACTGATGATCTATAATCCGGAAAAACCCCTAATCCGGAATCGCCGACGTCTCGACGAGTCCGGATTACGGACTTTGTACTGTACTAGATTTATGCCTAGCATTATTCTTGTTGTGAGACTCTTTCATTCATTTAGTCCGAGCTATCCATTCTGAAAAATTCTATAATAGGTATTCTGACGCAAAATCGAACTTTTCCTGAAATGACATACCAATTTTTTTCCATATTTCAATTCTATGATTCAAATTATGCCAAAATGCGAAGTATTGTAAAAAATCACACGAGTAATTTATAAAAAATTAGCTCTCAAAATTTCAGCTCCTCGATTTTAATTGAATTTGGTATATATTTATTTTATTAATCTTTCTTTTTTAACTTAATTGATTCTTTTTTTCACAATTCGAAACTTAAGTTCAATTCAAATAAAATTCACAGCTATTTTCTGATCTGTTTTCAAATTTGTATTTTTAATAATTTTTACAAATTTTTAAACTATAACCTATCAAATTTTTAACATCAGCTGAAAGAAAATGTATTTTTAGGTATACCTTAAAAAAATTAGAGTTTTTTGTTCAAAATTTCCAAAGATATACGTAAATTTATATAATGGCGCGTTTTTAAATTTGGCATATTTGTTATAAGCGATAATAACGCCAGATGTGTTTTACACACTTTGCTAAAATTGTTTGAAAGTACGAACGATGAAAATTTTTTCGCTCGTGTACAATGAGAAAAAAGAAAGGAAAATAGATTGCTATAAATTAAGAATTCCGCCAAGTGAATGATTTTTGGCGCACACTGAAAAAAGTGCGCCAAGATCAATTATTAAATTTCTCGGTGAGTTTCTGATCAGATTTTTTAAAATTTAATATTTGGGCATAATTTGAGTAGTAGAATGAAAATATGAAAAAAAATCGCCATGCCATTTCAGATAAGTCCGATTTTGTGTCAAAATATCTATGTTAGAACAATGCTATGTAAAAATCTAATAATATATCCTAAGTCGCGCTTTCAATATATGCACATTTTCAAGATATACGCATACGAAGTATGAGACCCACAACGCTCGTCTGTGGATGGGGCTCCAAATTTGAAAGACTTAGCGCATAAGTTTTCGCATACTTACTACACAAACTTGCGCAGTACCGATGAGCACTCTGAAACACTACATAGCTTTAGTGTAGAATTGGGTGCCCCTTCGATTGGCGACATTTTTAAAAAAATTTTGGCGATGAAACATCACTTTTGGTTACCACGATAGTTTTTGCAATTCTTCGACTTCTTATTTTGGTTTTGTGTAGCGGCCATCTTGAAATTGTGACTTCCTGGCGCCGATCTTGGCGTCAAAAAAGAATCGCCAATAAACAAGGGGCACCCAATTGTAAACTTTTACCCACTACATTTATCGATTGTGAATTTTTGGTCGACTTGCTGTCTTTGTTGAATGTAGATTGTGTCCTTATATGTCAAAGAGCAAAGAAAAAGTGCAATATGAAACTGCTGAAGGAAACTTCACGACAAGAAGGCCTAAGAGAAGAGAAAACCAATATAATAGTGGAATTAACTTAAAATTTAGTCTTATTGGTTAAATTAATAGTTAACTGATTTCGATATCCATGAAGCAGATGAAAAGTGGGAAACAATTTATTTCTTTTCAGTGTGTAATCAAGAGATCAGAGAACTTGACAGAGAATGACCATAGACGCAATGTTTGATACATATTTGTTAATGAGAATTCTAGATCGGAGAACTTGACTAGAAGCTGTGCACACAATGTTTGATGCATATTTGTTGACGAGTTTTATATTTTTCATAGAAAAAGAAACAAGATATAATTTCAGAGTTTATTACTACTTTAGTCGGTTTCCAAATCGTCAGAAAGTGAAGCGTTGTTAGCTTGCACACTGGCAAAAGAAGGTTATGTACTGCTGGTGTCAAGACCAGTTCGATTCTAATTGCGACCTGGATACAGAAAAAGGAAAGGACTGTCTAAGCTTCTGCTTAATGATCTTTCTCGAAATCATAAGTCATATCTACAAGTGGAATTACGTCTAACATATGAAAAATCAAAGGTAATGAATCAAGTAACACAAAATCAAATTAAGGAGAAAGTAAACATATGGAAGCTAGTTTTAAATAGTTTTCTATCAGTTTCCACCAGAGGGAAAATCTTCTTCTAAGCAACGATCAAGAAAAGCTAGGAAATCAATGGGAACTTTCTAGGTCAATTTAAATTAATGGCCATATACGAAGCTTGTCGAATGAGAATGTTCAATGAGTAACGAAAGCCTGGAGAATTTAATACCTGTCTTA